TATCATTTGCATAAAGTTTTGAAACTGTGTTCATCTTTTTATGAAAACTATGGCCAGGTATTTGCCCCCCATTCTGCTGGGGATCAAACCCAAGCCTCATATATGTAAGGCAAATTGTTTTTACCCTGGAACCACATTTCTGGCCCTCTGGAGGACTTCCTATCCCTTGAAGTGATGGTGCTGCTTTCTCTTCTTCCTCCTTTTCTTGTTCTTCTCCTCCTCTTCCAGTTCTCCTTAAACTGTAAAAATTCTGAAACCTGCCACATCTGCAGTAGGTTGACACTGTGGTGGCAGATGAACATGTCAGCTCAAAACAGGACTTGAAAGTAGCTTTGTGCCTGACTCTTGGACTGTGATGATACTTCATGTTCTGAACTACTTCTCTGTTGGCAGAATACTTTGTCCAGAGTTTTACTGTGTATAGGTCCTGTAGGAGAGAATCTAGCCAGTGGTCCTTTAGCTAATTGTGTGACCTTGAACAAAACACTGAATATCTTTGAGTATCAGCTTCCCTCTAAAGAGGGGGCCTTGGGTCTCTGCATCGGACCAGGACTCAGAGGAACACTAGATGACTGATAACAGACATATGTAGAATTCTTGGTTACTGTGAGACTGGAAATTTTGGCAGTCATGTTCCCTGTGGAGGCATAACACTTAAGAATTATGTGTGGGCTGAAGGGGCAAATTTTGTCAATAGCTGTTTATTGCCTGTATGTCTAGTACTGTACCATTTAAATTTCATGCGGTATATTCTCTATGGGCCCGAGTATTCGATATGCCAGACACAGTAACAACAAAGTCTCCAATGGAGATGTTACTGGGCCCGCTCGAGCAAATCGACGATCAACGGGAGGGCCTTTACCTTTACTTATTCTCTATGGGGCCAGAGCGATAGCATAGAGGGTAGGGCGTTTGCCTTGCACTCTGCCGACCCGGGTTCGATTCCTTCGCCCCTCTCGGAGAGCCCCACCAGCTTCCGAGAGTATCCCGCCTGCACGGCAGAGCCTGGCAAGCTCCCCGTGACGTATTTGGTATGCCAAAAACAGTAACAAGTCTCACAATGGAGATGTTACTGGTGCCCGCTTGAGCAACTCGATATTCTCTGTGTCCAAATTCATCCCGAACTTTCAACTGAAATATTTACCTTCTCTGTGGTGTCTTTCCAAGTGCACAAATTCCTTTATTTCTTTCCAAATTTATATTATTTGTACCACTTGTTGGACTAGTTTGAATTGTTAGTTTTCCCTCTCAAGATTTTAAATTTTCAAATACACAATAAAGTTGATAGGTCACATATTTGCTGTCTAAATTTCACCCTTTTTTTGTAGTCTTGTTAAATTGCATGTTAATTGTATCTTGTTTAATCATATCTTAATTTAAATGTGCCCATCCCTCTACCTATTAATCTAGACCAATTCCTTGACATATGTCAAAGTGAATTGCAGAATTTACATTTTCACCTAAGTACCTGGCATGCCGTGGTTTTCTGTTTCTGAGTTACTAATTTGGCTTTTGGTTACAGAGATCAATCTCAAGTGAGTTTAAGCAACCATAAGTTTTAAATCAGTAGAATCCAAACCAACCTTGGTTTTGGTCATGGGTATACCTAGCAGCACAAAAATCCTTACCACTTTAACTCAGTTCATTCTTTTGGGGTTTTCTTTGTTTGTTTTTGGCTTTTGGGGTCACCCTTGGTGCTGCTGGGGATCAAACTCGAATGGGCCTAGGGCAAGGCAGGTGCCCTACCTGCTATACTATCATAACTCCAGCCTCTTGGTTCACTTTTCAGTCCCATTTTCTTATCCCAGATAGGTGGAGGTTGAGTTCAGTCACTTCCGATGGCTCTTAAGTATCAAGTAGCAGGTGTAGATCTTTATTTCTCGTCTCTCACTAAGTCTTAAAAGTTTGGAAGTATTGGGTTAAATATGCTACTTTATGATAGAAAAGTTTAGAAAAGCCAGTCGCGACACTTTAAATTCCTTCATTCGGCATCTGTCAGAGTTTGTGTTCAACTTCAGTTAACTGAGCAACGCATATCAATGTAAATTTGAGAAACATAATCTTTTGATCTAAAGTTACAGCCAGCAATATTTGTTGCTTGAAGGCAGGAATGATAGCACAGGGGCTAAGGTCTTTGCTTTGTACACAGCTAACCCGGGTTCAATCCCCAGAACCACACGTGGTACCTGAGACCCATTAGGAGTAAACCCCAAGTACTTGTAGGGTATGGTCCAAAAAAAAAAAAAGAACATTTATGGTCTTAGATTTACTAAAAGAAATGGTTGGCTTGCAGGTGACATTGTGCTATTTGTCAGAATGTATCTTAGCTTGTGGGGTGTGAGGAAAAACCCACAACATGATTTTGTGGCTGAGGGTTAAAATACCAAGCAGGGGGCTGTAGTGAGAGCACAGTGGGTATGACGTTTGCCTTGCACGGCTGACCCAGGTTCGATTCCCAGCATATCCCGTATGGTCCCCTGAGCACCGCCAGGAGTAACCCCTGTGCATGGCCAGGTGTGACCCAGAAAGAAAAAGGAAAAAAAAAAGGCCAAGCAGGTTAAGGATGACCGTGAACAGAGAGGAGGTGAAGCAGCCTTGGGGATGCCTTATGAGAACTGCGTGTCCCTGAGGATGTGTATGCCCCCAGGAAAGAAAGACAGGGATGGCTGGACTTAGAAATAAGGGGAAGACTTCACCTTTTTTCCCCAGTTTACAAGGGTGGGGAAGATCAGCACAGGAACTATATAAGGCCCCTGAAATCCTGTGGTCTGACCCTGGTAAATGCCAGACAGACACCTGTGCTTCTCAACAGGTCCCCAGGCCCTTCTGCCTGTATTGTATGTCCCACAAATGGTCTCAGAAATAGTCCCATGACCATGGTCAAAAAAGTTTCTGCCTCTGGTATGTAGTCTTCATCTTAACTTGACATAGTAGGTGACGTCTACTGCTAGGGTATTTTGTTGGTTTGTAATGGGGCCAACATGGGTTCAAGGCTCGTTCTGTGCTTAAAGGTCATTCCTGGCAGTGCTAAGAGACTTTGGTGCCAGGGGCCAAAGCTGGGTCAGCTTCATGCAAGCAAGTGCCCTACCTACTGTACCATCTCTCTGGCCCTATTAGTGTTTTTGATACTATATGTTATTGTAGAGACACTGGTGGGTAGGGCATTTGCCTTGCACGTGGCTGGCCGACCTGAGTTTGATTCCTTCGCCCCTCTTGGAGAAGCAAGCTACCAAGAGTACCTCGCCCACACAGCAAAGCCTGACAAGCTCCCCGTGACGTATTCGATATGCCAAACACAGTAACAAGTCTCACAATGTTACTGGGCCCGCTCGGTCAAGTTGATGAACAACGGGAGGACAGTGAGTGTTTATGTGATTTTTAGTACCGGATATGGAACACAGGGCCTTATGTGCAGCACATTCTCCATTCTGAGCTATGTCCCTGTTCTGTTTTTTGGCTTTAATTATTATCATGGGGAACGATGTCCTTTTTTTCCCCCCTCCTCAGACTACACGTGATGCTCAGGGGATTGCGGTACCCAGGGATCGTGCACACAGAACATGCACTCTAGCCCCTTGGAGTCGTCTCCTTGGCCCCAGAAGTGATTATTATTTTTATATATTTTACTCAAGGAATACTCCTGGCTCAGGGTTCCTGGGTCACTTCTGGCAGTGTGACTGGGACCATATGTGGTACCTGGAATCAAACTGGGGTCAACTGCATGCAAGGCAAGTGCCTTAACCTCAGTACCATTTCTCTGCCCTTGAAGCATGCTTTTTTCAACGATAAGCATGTGTTAGTGATACCAGTGTTGGGATTGGATTTCTCACCTAGTATTAATTGACTTTCTGTGTTCTGCAAGAAAGTTTCACTTATGGAGGGATTATGAAGCTAATGGATTCTGGAATGCTAGAGTCCAGGAAAAAAAGCTTTCGGGTATGTTCCAAACTTTTTTTATAACTGGAGAAACGTGAGGAATTTGTTGTTATCTACGTAGCTCCACAAATTGCAAAGTCTCCTGCCCCGGTGTTCTTTCCTTGATAACTTTTTAATTGTTGAAGTAATTGTTACTTAATATTTAGACTATAGCAGAGGATGTGGCTCAGTGGTAGAGCACTTGACTTGCAAGCATGTGTGAGGTTTTCTATTAGTTTCCAACACAACCCCAAAAAAAAAACACTAAGACTACAGTTATTTTTTCATTTTTCATCATCCTGTTATTCGTCGATTGCCTCGAGCAGGCCCCAGTAACGTCTCTTTCATCCTAGCCCTGAGACTATATTCAAAGCTATTTAGGAGAATGAGACCCATCATTGTTACTGGTATTTGGCATATTTGGTGCGCCACGGGGAGTTTGCCAGACTCTGCCCTGTGGGGAGAGACTACAGTTATAGGCTTTTTTTTTCTAGTTACAGGTTTTGAGAAGAATAAGAAACACCAGAATATTTTTGTAGCATGTGAATATGTAAATAATATTAGAATGGTGACTTTTTAAGAATACTAGTAAATGAAGAAAAGAAAGATGTGTTTGTGATGGATTTTGTTTTTTTGGACAACATCTAGCTGTGCTCAGGCATTACTCTGTGGGACTTCAGGGATCTTATGTGGTGCTGGGATTTAACCTGGGTCAGCAGTGTGTAATACAGATGCCTTACCGGCTGTTCTCTCTCGCGTTCTCGCTCTCTCCTCTCTCTCTCTCTCTAGTCCCTCCCGCTCTCTCTCCCTCGTTTGTTTTTGTAATTGAAGTAATTTTGAGGCTCTGTAATTTCAAATTAATTAAAACTGAAATTTGTCTGCGAGTTTGGTATCTTGTTCACTGAGGATGCATATGCCCCGCATCAGCTGCTTGAATGAACAGCAGAGTGACCATCTCTTTCAATGAGTAGGTCTTCTGCCAGTTCTGGACTTGGTCTTACACAGATTTGGGTAACCAGTCTTCAGTCGTACACGCCATACTGGAATGAGGATGGGTTTACATGTCATTGCTTTGGGTTTTGCAGGTTTTATAGTGTATCTCTGAGCATGAACGCAGAATGAAGCGCCGTTTGGATGACCAGGAGTCACCGGTGTATGCAGCCCAGCAGCGTCGGATTCCTGGCAGCACTGAGACTTTCCCTCACCAGCATCGGGTGCTCGCCCCCGCCCCTCCTGTATATGAAGCAGTATCTGAGACCATGCAGTCAGCCACAGGCATTCAGTACTCGGTGACCCCCAGCTATCAGGTGAGCCAGGGCCTACCAGGGACAAGGCGGGACATAAGAGATACAGTCTGGTTATTCTTTTTTTTTTTTTTTCTTGTTGGGTCACACCCGGCGATGCACAGGGGTTACTCCTGGCTCATGCACTCAGGAATCACTCCTGGCGGTGCTCAGGGGACCATATGGGATGCTGGGAATCGAACCCGGCTTGGCCGCGTGCAAAGCAAACACCCTACCCGCTGTGCTATCGCTCCAGCCCCATTGAAATAATTTCTAAGGTTCTTTCAGGAATAAACTCAAACTTCCTGGAACTATGTATTTTCTCTAAAGGATGGTTGAAGGGAATTTTCATTCTATATGGAGACCTTTTTTCTCTTTTGCTTTTTGGGTCCCACCTGGCAATGCACAGGGGTTACTCCTGGCTCATGCACTCAGGAATTACTCCTGGCGGTGCTCAGGGGACCATATGGGATGTTGGGAATCGAACCCGGGTCAGCCACGTGCAAGGCAAACGCCCTACCCGCTGTGCTATGTCTCCAGCCCTGATACAGTCTGGTTAAAAGCAGTTGTTGCTAAGCGTTCGTTTGAATATAAAGAGGAACATGGCGGGTGGGAGAGTTAGTACAGTAGGAAGACGCTTGCCTTGCCACCTGCTGCGTTTGATCCCCAGCTCCCATGTGGTACCATGAGCTTACAAGAAGTGGCATACCCCACCCCCCAAATAAAGAGAATTATAAGGGGTATGTGTACCAGTGGACACTTAAATATTTTGTCTGTTTGGTTTTTGAGCCACACCTCTCTGTGCTCAGGAATCATCCTTGGCCCTGCTTGGGGACCTTGTAGGTGCCAGGGATTGAGCCTGGTTTGGCCACATACAGGCAGGTGCCTTCCCCACTGTACTCTCTCCAGCCCCGACACTTGTATATTTACTATACACACTTTTACTTGAGTATTTTTGATTGAATTAGGGCGTTAACACCTAGTGGAGCTGCTCAGGGGCTCTTTTGATGTTTGGGGCTCGTTCCAGCCCAGGACCATGTGGTGCTGAGGACCAGACCCAGCCCCCTTGAATGCAGGGCCTGTGCTCCAGCTGGTCAGCTATTTTCCCAGTCCCATGGAGGTGGTTTTTTTTTTCTTTTTTTAAATGTTGCTGTTACCTTTGAGGTCACTCGACCCTCTTTTCACCCCTTTTCCTTTGCTGTCCTTTGAGAGGTGGCCACTAACCTGAACTTGGTGGTTATCATTCCCTTGACTTTTGAATCAATTTTGTTTATCTCTCTAAACAATAAAATTACTCAGTTTGGTCTTTATTTCTCCATACTTCCATTAAGGGGCTCTCGACTCTTCCCAGCGTTCTGCTGTTATACAGAAGCTGTTGTAGGTGTTCTGAGGTGTTTCACTAGCGCAGTTGTCACTCACACGGCAGTCTGTGTCAGACTAAGTTTAAATCAACTTTGGTTTTTTGGATCTAAGAGAGTTTTGCTGTGGTGAACATAGGAAGGAGCTGAATTAAACTGTGCTTACTAGTGAAGTAAGTAGCTGGTTTCTATTCTAGAGCAAACTCACTGTTACAGATTAGCAGATTTGAGAGCGTTTAGGGTAGTTTCTTGAGAATCTCGGAATCAGATTGCTGGGTTATAGGATGTGTACCTCTTCCGCTTTAGCAGGCAGTATCAAATTGGTTTCCAAAAATGCACCAGTTTATATTCTTACTAACACTAGATGCTCCCGTTATTACACATTCTGACCAAGAATGATCACTCCTCTGTTTACTCTGTTTTGTAAATGTGGAAGAAATGTAATTTCTTTTGCTCTTTTTCATAAGAAAGCATCTTCATTGTCTTTTACTGATGATATGATGGTACCAGGGAGATGGTTCAAGGGCTGGAGCATAAACATTGCATGTGGAAACTCCAAATTCAACCCGTAACACCACATGGTCTCCTGAACACCTCCAGAAGCCCCAGATACTGCGGGGGCGGCATGGGTCGTCACCAGCACAGTGTGGCGTGACCAGCATGGCATCCTTGACCCTGACATTGAACTTCTGGCCTGTCCAGTTAGTAGGCCTCCTGGGCGTGACTTAAGACGCCTCTCTTCCTCTCCTGACTTAACTGCACTAGAGTTAGGGCTGTGTGTGGCTCACAGCGCAACACTTGCTCTTACCTGGGAGGGGCTGGGCTTGATCCCTGGTACCTCTTAAACAATCAAAATAACTATTGGTCGGTCTGAACCATTTATTTAACTGGATTGGAAAGGCCTTGGTCAGTTTAACTTACAGTGACATTGAAGAAAGTATGGCTGGTACTGGAAATATAAATTGGTGTACTTTTGAGCAGTTTGACTGCTCGTGTAAAGTTCTTTAGTTGTTCGTGATTCCATCAAGGGTCTGTAGCGATTGCTCAAGAGCTGAGTGTTCTTTACATGCTGGGGCCTGGATTTGTACCCTGGTACCACATGATAATTGGAGCACTGCTGGAAGCGGCCAACAAGCACAGAGTCAGGAGTAGCCCCTGAGCCCCACCAGGTATGTCTCCCACCCCCAAGCCCAAACAAGAGTGAAAATGAGAATAGGAGAAGAGGGAAATCCAGATGAAGTACGAAATGGTGACTCTAGCCAGAGCTGTGGTACAGCGGGTAGGGCTCTTGCTTTGCACGTGAGCAGCCAACCTGGTTTCAAACCCCAGCATCTATGCAGTGCCCCCAAACCTGCCAGGAGTGATCCCTGAGTTCAGACGCGGGAGGAAGCCCTGAGCGCTGCCAGGTATGGCCCCAAAACAGAAACAAATGAAACGGTGATTCTTAGTCACTTTTCCTCTGGGTTCCTCACCCTCTTATTAGAGGTTTTTTGGGGAGGGGGCGGGGGGAGTTGGAGTCTCTCTGGTTTTGTTTTTTGGGTGTTTTTTTTTAGGGGTGAGGAGGGCTTTATCCTGCTCTGCGCAGTGCTTATTTCTTGCTCTGCACTCCGAACTCACACTCCTGGCGATGCTCAGGGGACCTCACGGGATGACAGGATGGAACCTCGGATGGCTGTGTGCAGGACAAATATGCTGCCTGTTGGAATGTCTCCAGTTCCCAGGAAGTTGGGTTTTCTGTCTATCTTTGTGTGTGTTCAGCGATAGGCATGCACGGCTTTAGACCTGTTTGGACAGAATGCATAACCGTGAGGGTTTTTTGTCTGTATTTTGCCCACTGCAGGTTTCAGCTGTGCCACAGAGCTCTGGCAGTCACGGGCCCACCATCGCCGCGGTGCATAGCAGCCATCACCACCCGACAGCCGTGCAGCCCCATGGAGGCCAGGTGGTCCAGGGTCACGCTCATCCTGCCCCACCGGTGGCACCAGTGCAGGGACAGCAGCAGTTTCAGAGACTCAAGGTGGTGTTTCTTTTCTTTTCTTCCATCATGAAGCTGCTCTCTGAGCAGGAAACATTGGTGGCAGCCTGTGGGTAGTGGTATTGCAACTTTTAACAAACGAGGGGTTTTACTTCTTGAATCACAGGAAGTCTTACTTTGTTTAAGTTTTGAAACTTAGATTTCTCTTCTCAGCGCCAGTGCCTGATCCGAAGAATAGTTGATGACGTGTTTGTGGAATTCAGTAACATGTCATGGTTGAGGGACTGGATATTTTTGTTTCTGCTTTTGGACCACACCTGGCATTGCTCAGGGGTTACTCCTGGCTTTGCACTCAGGAAATACTCCTGACTTACTAGGTGGGATGCTGGAGATGGGGGATCCAGATTGAACCCCAGGCAAACACCCTACCCAAATGCCCCACTGCCCTGTGGCTGTTCTATGACTCACACTCCAAGGGACTGTTACTTGTTTGTTTGTTTGTTTTTAGGCCATATTTGGCTGTGACCAGGGCTTACTCATGACTGCCCTCGTGGATTACTCCTGGTGGGCTTGGGAGACCACATGGGCGCTGGGAATAGAACCCAAGTTAGCTGTACACAAGGCAAATACCCTACCTGCTGCATAGTTGCTCCATCCCCGGGGGACTGTTACTTTGATATGAAATAATGTCTATTAGGGGATGCCTCCTTTGGAACACATAGTTGTTAAGGTTTTTGGTGTTTGTTTTTTGTTAGCTACAAAATTTTATTTTCTAGTGGACATAAGAATATGAGGTATGTATCATTAATCTCAGTACGTATGATGTGCTGCATTAAGTTCACTAAAATCCATTCTGTCGACAGTGTCACCCTGCAGTTGACTCCTGGTTTACCTCGTGCTCTTCCTTCCATTCGCAGAATTCCATAATTGACATATACAGCCTGTCCTTTTGAGGCATCACATCTAAATGGTTGAAAGATAATGGCATTATATGGATGGGGTTGCATTATTTTTGCCAAACTATAACCTGTTTTTTCTCTCTCGTGTTTTGCTTTTGTTCCTTATGTGACCATTGGGTTGGTGTATTTGCCTCGTTGCCTGGCAGTGCATTTTCCTCTGCAGACAGATGCATTCTGGTTGTGTCATGATGAGCGTAGATAGTCATTCTATATGGTTTTCATGGGGGATCATTCAGACATGCTCAGCATGCAGACTTTGCTCAGTGTCACTCTGTCAGGCCTGTTCTGGTATACATTACTGGAATGATAGGACACCTCTCTTTTTCCCTAATTCACATATCATGTTCCATACCAGCGATGTTCAGGACTTATTCCTGACTCTGAGCTCAGGGACCACTCCTGATGGGGCTCAGGGGACAGATTAAGGGATTGAACCTGGATTAGCCACATGCAAGGCAAGTGCCCTGCTTGCTGTACTATCATCTCCCAGGTCCCTCATACTGTCACTTTTAAAGTGACACAGAATTCCTACCAAGTGAAAACTCAGGTTGTATTTCAATTACAAATAAAAGTTTGGGGGTAGAGAGATAGTACAGCAGATAGGGCACTTGATTTGCATGTGGTCAGACCGATCCCTGGCATCCTGTATGATCCAGTGCAGAGCCAGAGTAATCCCTGAGCACAGCCTGATGTGGCCCAAAAACCAAAAAAGTAAGATTACTGCAAAGCCTGAGTGGTAGTCTAGGGGTTAAGGCAGTTGCCTTGCACACAGCCTATGTAGGTTAGATCTGGCACGTGTGTGGTTCCCTGAGCAGTGCTGGGTGTTATGAGGTGGATTGAGGGACCTGGGGAGAAGATGATTTTTCGTCTTTCAGGGCCACATTTCAGAACTTTATTTTTTCAGAGACAAGTGCATTACCCACTGTACTTTATGCTTGGCCCTAGCCCAACTTCCTAATTAATTGCTTTTTTTGTTTGTCTTTTGGGCCTCACTCAGGACTTACTGAGGGTTTACTCCTGGCTCTGCACTCGGGTCGGACCATACGGGATTCTGGGGATGAACTGGGTCTGCTGCATAAAAAACAAACACCCTACCTGCCGTACTACCCCTCCAGTCCCTTTATTCCTGTTTATGTTCCTGTAACTGAATTGGCCTGCATTTTCAGGTCCCTCATTCTTAGGACACTGTGGCTTCTTTTGGGGGAACCTTTATAAAGTTGGGGAAGGCTGTAATTGTGAATGAAGGCTAATGTTTATGTCTGAGGATGGGCTATAGGGTTGAGATTCAGGCATCTATGGCGTGTTGGAGCTTGTGTTCCCAGCTAACACCTCTGCTCACTTGAGTGTTAATTTCCAATGTATGTGGTCCAAGTTTCCATTTTTCTAATTTTACCCCCATATAAAATTGAAAGTCAAGTATGGGAAATTAAAAAAAGCTCTAAAAAAGATCTTTCTTCGGTCAAGCCACCCTAATTCTATGAACTAGCTTGCAGTTATTCACACTACACTCTTAAGGGCAGACTCCCTTTGCTTTCATTGATAGGAGTTCTCAGGAACTCGTTTGATGCTGACCTAAGGAAATTCAGTGCTCCATAAACTGTAAAGCATACCAAAGATAAAGATAGCTGTAGAGAGGATTGTTGTAAAATTTACTGTATGTTAGCCTTAAGTAATTAAGAATTTACTCCATGAAGCATAATCTTTAGAGAGAATCACAGACTGGGGCCTGAGAGATGGTACAGCGGTGGGTAGAGCGCTTGCCTTGCACCCAGCCAAGTCCCAGGTTCAATCTTGGGTACCCTTTGTGGTCCCCCACGTCTGCCGGGAATGATCCCTGAGTGCAGAGCCAGGAGTTAGCTAAGGATGGCTTCAAAACAAAAAAAATTAAAAGATAGAATAAATTACTTAGGTCTGAAACATCACTCTAGGCTCTGTCTTTTGGAAAATTTGTATAAGCTTTTCATTTGTTTCCTCACAGCATTTTTACTCTGCTTGTAGCGGCGGCTGTTAACAAAATACATTATTTCTATAAACTTAGCACTTCACCAAGCTCTGAAGCTATTTTTTAATTGTGACTTTTATTCATATTAATACTATAGCTCTTAGTGCTGTAATTTTGCAAGAAATGATAAATTTTCTCTAAAACTAACAAGAAGAACCTTGTGTTTTGAGCTTTATTCAACTACCCTATCAAAAGCACAGCACCCGTTTTATTCTGATTGCTCATGGCACTCCTGGGTTTAAGTGTATGGATTGTTCTTTGTTTTATAGAAGCTGCCAGGGAAGCAGGAGAGGGTTTTGGAGTTGGTTCTGGAGTGAGTCACAGGTAGAACCAGGACTTCTTTCTCTGTTCTCTTTAATTATGAGCTCTTCTGATTCTTGAACACAGTAACTTGTCGAATTTTCTTCTAACTAGGAAAGATAAAATACGTTCTTGTTCCTCCACGTAATTCAATCCAGTATTCACACATTGCCATTTTTGGATCAGTCTTAAGATGATTTTCTAAGCATTTCAGTCAATTTCGGTAAATCATTTATATGTTCAGTGAGAATGCCCAGGTTATTTTAATATCAGCATTGTCGATGTGCTTTCTTTTTGTCCCTGGCAGATTGATGACAAGATTTGAGTTATTTGGAGCATATTTGGTGTGATGTACTTATTTAATGCCAGGAAAACAGATATTTGGCACTTACTTATAAGGTTCTTTTTACAGTTATCTCCCCTACAACATTGTAAATGTTGGGAGGTTTGGGTCCTTAGTAATAAATGTCTTTTGAACTCCTCCCCTACCTCTGGGTGTGAATCTGTTAATAAATAAATGCCAAATAAATAAATGCTTGTTGAAGTGACTGGGAAAATTGAAATTGATTCTAGGATCGTCCCAAGCCCTTCCTTAAACTGCAGCTTCTGAAGGACTCGTTTCAAATCTTTGTTACTGTTAATATATATGGAATAATTAATGAGTCTTCCCCAACTTAACCCACCAATTTTTTGGGGGGGGGGTCACACCCGGCGGTGCACAGGGGTTACTCCTGGCTCATGCCCTCAGGAATCACTCCTGGCGGTGTTCGGGAGACCATATGGGATGCTGGGAATCGAACCCGGGTTGGCTGCGTGCAAGGCAAACACCCTACCCGCTGTGCTATCACTCCAGCCCCCCCTCCATCAAATAATTTTAAGCAGGAATAGTGTATTTATTTTTGGGTTGGGGGCCACACCCAGATGTGCTCAGGGCTTACTCCTGGCTCAGGGATCACTCCTAATGGCAAAAAGGGGTACCATACGTAGCACCAGAAGTCAAAACTGGGTTTGGTGCAAGCAAGACATGCACCTTACCTCCTGTACTATCTCTCTGACCTGGAATATATTACTTTAATATTGGATGGAGGGTGGGGTACTCTACTTTTTTACTGGTCCATACCTGGTAGTGTTCAGGTCTTATTCCTGGCTCTCTGCTCGGGAGTCATTCAAGATACCATGTGTGGTGCCAGGGATCTAACCCATCTCAGCCTATTTACTATCTCTAGCACAGAATACTTTTGAAAAGCAAGGAAACCTGTTTACATCTGTGCTCTGGTGAGCCGGAAGTATTCTGATTAACAACCAATAGAAGTTTGTGGAACTCTTGAAATTGTACTTAATGGCTTATTTGAACATAATACCACTGCACTGTCCTCCTGTTGTTCATCGATTTGCTTGAGGGGGCACCATTAACGTCTCCATTGTGAGATTTGTTACTGTTTTTGGCATATTGAATTTTTGGCCTTACCCACATGTCTAAGTATAGAGGAAAATTCTAGGAGTTTCCTTGGATGTCTCGTGAATAAAACTCAAGTTGTTTATATCAGACTCATAACTTCCTATCTCTTTAAAACTTTATCCTTGTGAGTACTCAATTTTCCAATTTAGTGAATACATCCTCTTCCTTATCTCCCATACCTACTAGGTCCCCAAATTCTTTTTCCTAAAACCTATTCGATATTCTTACTATGGTGACCACTAACTCAAACCCCTGTTATTTGTACAAAGTGGCCTTATAGCTTAAATGGTCTTCCAGTCATTTTTCAGTCTCTGCTGTTCTTGTATGCCTGTACCAGATTGGGTTATGGTTTGTTTTTGTTTATTTGTGGGCCACCCCCAGGGATGCTTAGAGCTTACTCTTGACTGCTCAGGGATCACTCTTAGCTGATTAAGGGGAGCATATAAGTGCCAGGGATCAAATATGCATTGGTCACATTCAGGGCAAGCTCCATTCTCACTGTGCAGTTTCTTCTAAATAGCTTTTTAACAGGATTTACAAGGCTGTTTCTGCTTATATTTCCACTTCATCTCTTGTTTCTCTTCCAGCATTTTCCAGATAACCGGATGGTGTCCTGTCTGCGATTTTGCCCGTGCTGCTTTCTCTGTCTTCATGAATTTTCACTGGGCTAACTTTTGTACTCATCCTTAGGGCTTGGTTCAGACAGCACTTTTTAAGGAGTTCTTCCCTTTCTGTTCACATATGTTGTCTGTCCCCTGCTACCCCCAGGATTATGAGGGAGGTCATGAATAGTACCCTTCCCACGTGTTCTCTGGGCATTCAGTGATAACTCATTTCACTCACAATGTTATTGTGGTTATGATTTCCAGCTCAGGGTAAGCAAACTGTGAAAGGGAAATGTAGCTTTATCGAAGCCTTAGTTCCTCACTTTGGGCATGGTGTCACGTGATCTAGATTAGGAGGTCTAATATGTGAACAGAGAAGCAAATGACGTATAATCTCTTCTTTATGTATCATTTTCTTCTAACTTACTCAAGGTAAGGCTACAGATTTTATGAATTGGTTTTTATTTTAAGCTTGAATTCATTCTTCCTAGTTTTTAATCGGTCCATGTGTATTTACTACATTTTTCTATTGACTGTGTAAGTTTTACTTCAGTATCGATTTTTATTTATTGGTTCATTTTATCATTATAACCTTGAGATTTATCTCTGCCTCAGGTGGAGGATGCACTGTCCTATCTGGACCAGGTGAAGCTGCAGTTTGGTAGTCAACCTCAGGTCTACAATGATTTCCTTGACATCATGAAAGAATTCAAATCCCAGAGGTAAAGTTAAATGTGACTGACCTCAAGTTTTTTGCTTGGGATGTTGATTTTTGGAGGTAGGATGTAGCTTATTCTTAACCACTGAGCAACAAAGGATATCTCTGTTAGGCATTTAATTGTTAGGGTCAAGCTTTTATTGTGTTGCTGCAACTGATGAAATTTACTGGCCTTAAACACCTTTTCTCTATGTATATATATATATGCATTGTGTCTTGCTTGGGAATTTTAGTTTTAATTTACTATCTTGAGTCTCTACTTGTTAAATGTATAATCTGTCCAAAATTACGATCAAGCTAGATGGCCTGAGGTTTATGTATTAGTTTTGTAATAGACACAGTTTTAGTTTTTTTATACAGAGTATATACACAGTATAATACACAGTAATATACACAGTATAGACACTGTAGCACTGTCCTCCCATTGTTCATCGATTTGCTCTGGCCAGCACCAGTTATGTCTCCATTGTGAGACTTGTTACTGTTTTTGGCAAATCTAATAGCCACGGAGACTTTGCTAGGCTCTGCCGTGAGGGCAGGATACTCTTGGTAGCTTGCCGGGCTTCCCGAGAGGGAGGAATCGAACCCAGGTCGGCTGCGTGCAAGGCAAACGCCCTACCCACTGTGCTGTTGCTCCAGCTCACGTGTTAGTTTTGTAATATACACAGTATTAGTTTTTATCTGGTCTCTTGTTTTTAAAAAACCTAGTGGAATGTGAATCACATTTTTTCCTAGGCTGTTTTTATCAAGCTTGCCCCTCTCTTTTCTTTCTAAATCAGCATTGACACTCCAGGAGTGATTAGTCGTGTATCTCAGCTGTTTAAAGGCCATCCTGACCTGATTATGGGCTTCAACACCTTCCTGCCCCCTGGCTACAAGATTGAGGTGCAGACGAATGACATGGTGAATGTGACGACTCCTGGCCAGGTCCACCAGATCCCCCCCCATGGCATCCAGCCCCAGCCTCAGCCCCCACCTCAGCATCCTTCGCAGCCTTCAGCCCAGTCCGCCCCAGCTCCTGCCCAGCCAGCTCCTCAGCCCCCACCTGCCAAAGCCAGCAAGGTGAGCATTTGCGAAAATCGCAGGACATAAAATGGAGCCTTCGAAATCATCCTCTGTTGACATTTCTCTTTAGCAGTATGCTTAGATCAAGCAGGCGATAGTGATTAGAGAACAGACAGTCACCATACTTGTGTCACAGAACGACTCTCATGCATGTCTCTTCTCTCTCTGAGAAGGGATCGGGAGTGTTTGGGCCACAGCTGGTGGTGCTCCGAGGAGTCACTCCTGACGTTGCTCTGGGACCCTGTGCAGGGCCAAGGAAGGTGCCTTAACTGGTGTGCTGTCTCTTTGGTCCTCCTTCATTGCATCTTTTCATGCCTGTTTCAGTGAACACATCAGCAGCCTACAGAGATCACTTTGTCTCCAAAGTTCTACTTGATAATAAACCCACAAGCATTCCAACATTTGGTGATTTTATAGTATAATACTTTGATGGCACAGGGAGAAATCGTCTTGCTATTAAAGAGAATGCTACTGACCAGACACGAACATCATTTTACAAAAGCTGCTCAGTTATCAGGGTGGATCATACTAAATTAAGCGGAAGATCCTGTTGGTGGTGGTAGTGATGGTGGTTGGGTGTTGTTGAGCTAGAACTGTAGTCCCATAGAGTTGCCTCTAGCTATTTAGTTTAATTTTATAATAAATTTAGTTTTTCAGGTGTTTTAATATCCTTACATGGCTAGTGACTTTTGTATAGAACCATAGCAAATAAAGAACATTTCCATCATTAGAGAGTATTCAGTTACATTTCCATCATTAGTATTCAGATACACAGTCCTAGATGCCAAAATTTTTTTAAAATACCATGCCCGTACCATAAAATCTTTAAAAAAAAAAATTCTTTTATCAAAGGGGCCCTGCTCAGAGGTGCTGTGGGAGGAGGCGCCTCAGGGCTGCTCTTGCTGCTGCTGACTTTGGGGCCTGAGGGTGGGAGGAATTGAACTTGGGAGCTCCCGTGGGAAGTGTGTCCCTACAACGTGAACTATCTCTTGGCTTTCATAAACTTATACGTGAAGTTTCTGCAACAACTGATCTATCTTTTTTTGTACTAGAGATCCATTCAGAAAGAACTCCACCCCCCCCACACCATCCCCCATTTCTACCTGTTGAGCTAATGAGCTTAAAAATTAAAGTTTTGCCTACAAGGCCAGAAAGAACAGTGCACGGGTTAAGGTGACTTCTGTGCATGTGGCTGACCTCAGATCCCCAGTCTCTAGGAATGATCCCTGAACATAGGGCCAGGAATAAGCTCTGAGTGCGTCCCACTCTTCCCCCACCCAAAAAAAAAAAAAAAAGATTTAGCCTAAAATTGAACATGTCTCCACTTTTCAGATATGTTTGGAAAATTTAAGACTGAAATGTTTGTTTTTGAACATGTGATTTCTTTGATTTTCTTAACCATACTCAATGTGATGACACTTGGGCTAATAAAATGGTCTGCTCAGAGGGATTAAGGATTTCTGTCCATTAGAATGCTTTTTTCTCTTTAGTTTGGGTTTTCTTTCCTATATCAAACCATCTGTGTTCTTCTAGAGAATAAAGACTTTTTTCCTTTATAGCCTTCCCAGCTACAAGCACATACTCCAGCCAGTCAGCAGACGCCCCCACTCCCGCCATACGCATCCCCTCGTTCTCCACCTGTCCAGCCTCATACTCCAGTGACAATCTCATTGGGAACGGCCCCATCCTTGCAGAACAATCAGCCTGTGGAGTTTAATCATGCCATCAACTATGTTAATAAAATTAAGAACAGGTTCCAGGGCCAACCAGACATCTACAAAGCATTCCTGGAGATTTTGCACACCTATCAGGTGAGAAAGTTGCTTTTTTAATCCATCTTAACTAGTTCATCTCCCCTCTGAGATGTTCTCCCAAGAACAACTTGAAATTCTAACTGGACCTATCCATTTTTGAAGCTAGCCTACAATGTTAAAGCCAGTTTGGTTTGCCTGACTGTAGCAGCCAGACTGGATGTTTCGTTACTGACTTGTGAAAGGAGTGCTTGTTCATCTGGGATAATTAGAGGATGATTCATGAAGCGTATATGGTCTAAAGGAAGAAGTTTAATGTTTTATCAGTTGGTAATAGTCCCCTGAGCGTTCACATATTCTGTCCCGGTTTTATTACTTTTAGTGATGCATGAAAGTCTTTATTGGAACTTATTTAGAAAGACGTGAGGGGAGAAAAAGGGAGAAGAATATGTCCAAGAGAAAACACACAGGCAAGCAAAGAAACAGACAAGCAAGTGAAATACGTGTTCCACAAACACGGGCTTGAAGAGCAAGCCTATTTTTTTTTTCAGGTTCTCTACATGATCAGAGAAACTTCTCTAGTAACATACTATAGAATTGATCCCTGAAAGTACAGTCTTACCTATTTATTTTCTTAAAGGAATTATTAGCTACCATCTTCTACTCCTTTATCAATTCAGTGATTTCTTTGTTTCATTTCATTTTTGGAGGATTCTGGGGTATTGGGTGTGTACCAAGCAGTGCTCAGGGGGCCTGGGCCAGTGGGGCCAGCAGTTCAGTCAGGGGCCCCGAGGTTGTCCTGCTTGGGCTTGCAATACCAGGGATTAGCCAGGCCACTCTGGCAGTGCTCGAAGGTCTCCAGGGCTGCACATGGGATGCTTGGAGTACCATGTGACATCAGAGTGGACCTAGGGTCCACTACATGTAGGGCATGCGCCCTAACCCCTGTACTTTCTCTCCAGTCTCTACTTTCATGACTTAAGCTTACAGTCAAATCGGTGCAAAGAACATAGACCTCCTTCTTGAAGAGTAGTTCAGATAGAGCTTAGCCCTCATTATCACCCAAACAGTGTAAAGTGACTATTCAGGAAGAGACCTTCTACTCTGAACTCTTGCATTTATAATTTCCTTTTCCTATCAGAAAGAACAGCGGAATGCCAAGGAAGCCGGAGGAAATTATACTCCGGCATTGACTGAGCAGGAGGTGTACGCCCAGGTGGCTCGTCTTTTTAAAAATCAGGAAGATTTGTTGTCAGAGTTTGGGCAGTTTCTACCAGATGCCAACAGTTCTGTGGTAAGTTGAACTTAGAAGGACTCTGCTATTCAAAATTTTGTTAACTTAGGAAGCTGGGATCAGAGGGGGACTTTTTCTAAATACTCCATTGCTTTGTTAAGAGATTTGATCTCTTTCATGTGTCTTAATTAGCTTTTAAGCAAGACAACTGCTGAGAAGGTTGATTCTGTAAGAAATGACCATGGAGGCACTGTGAAGAAGCCCCAGCTGAACAACAAGCCACAGAGGCCGAGCCAGAATGGCTGCCAGATCCGCAGACACTCGGGAACGGGGACCACCCCCCCAGTGAAGGTGAGCGGAGTAGAGGCTGCCCTTTCGGGCTCTGACCAGCAACTCAACAAAGACTTAACTGAATTCTATGTTTTTTTTTTGGGGGGGGGCCACACCCAGTGTTGCTAAGGGGTTACTTCTGGCTCCCTGGCTCTGCACTCAGGAATTACTCCTGGCAGTGCTCGGGGGACCATATGGGTTGCTGGGATTCGAACCTGGGTTGGCTGCGTGCAAGGCACATTCCCTACCCACGTGCTAATAGTGTGTTTAAAATTATTTCAAAAGTAAGTTAGTGGTCTCTGAGTCTCTCCTGTGAATAAAGTGCAAGGCCTGTGGTTTAGATACCTGTCCTGCCTAAGGTTCTTTGTTGCCTTTTTTCTTTTAAGAGATCACAGTCACGGTCCTCCGGTTGTTCATCGATTTGCTCGAGCGGGCCCAGTAACGTTGTGAGACTTGTTACTGTGTTTGGCATATCGAATACGTCAGGGGGAGCTTGCCGGGCTCTCCGAGAGGGGCAGAGGAATCGAACTCGGGTCGGCCATGCTGGCTGCGTGCAAGGCAGACGCCCTGCCCGCTGTGCTATCGCTCCAGCCCTAACTTTTTAATAATAAATCCAATTAAGTGTTTTTCCTTTCTCTTATAAAATGAAAACAGCGCATCATGCTTTAAAAAACAACAAATCAGTCTCGGGGCTGGAGTAATAGTACAGCGGGGAGGGCGTTTGCCTTGCACGCGGCCAACCCGGGTTTGATTCCCAGCATCCCATGGTCCCCCGAACACCACCAGGAGTAATTCCTGAGCAAAAAAGTCAGGAGTAACCCCTGTGCATTGCCGGGTGTGATCCAAAAACAAACAAAAACAAAAATCAGTCTCCAAAGTAGGACCTTTTGAGGCATAACAGGGAAATTTTTTATTGTAGTTGATGACTTGTCACATAATGCTGCGTGTTAGAGTAAGTCCTGGTGCTATACCTGCAGAGAACTCTAAGCCCTGTCTCCTGCTGTAGCGAAACTGTGCTGGGCACAGGCTCAGTGTGTTACGAAGCTCTCCAGTGCATCCTGAAGTACTATACCAGCGGAAGGAACAGAAGTGTTGGCAGAGATTAAAGGAATAACAAATGCTAGTGAAATTTCTAATAGTAAGAGGTGACTGGTGAACAACTAACTACCAGGAATGCCAGATTTGGTGTTATTTTTCAAGGACTGTGTTTTAATGTTCGTAATAGGTTTAATTTTCTTTGCGGGGCAGGGGTGGGGTCGTCCTGGGCCACACGTGGTTGTGCTCAGGGCTAACTTGGCTCAGCACTCCATGCTCAACTTTGTGTGGGGCTCAGGGATCATGTATGGTGCCTGCAATTGAACCTGGGTCTGTTGTGTGTAAATGCCCAAGTACTCGCTTTCCAGTCTTTCGGCTTAACTCTCAAGTGGCGAGATCACCTCTTGAAAATTAAATCTAGAGACCCACAGCGAGCTCAGCGGGAAAAGGGCTTGCCTTGCAAGCCTTGGGCTGGTGAGGCCTTGAGCATCCATGTCCAAGACTGCCCCCCGGGCCTGAGTACTGGTAAAGAGTGCCAGAGCCACACCCCCACATATTCTGCTGCACCTCAGCCAAGCTGGCATGAACTCAGCTGCATTGCTCAGTTAATTGCACGGATAACCAGAATCAGATCAAATAGGCCCCACTTTTGAAGTGTTCTCCTCCCACACTGATGGCCCACAGGTGGAAACACTGTTGGGGGAGTAGTGTACCCTTCCTATTTCCTCCCCACCTCCCGCGGTGGTGCGTGTGAGCAGAGGCGATGGCTCCCGAGAGAGTGTACTCTGAGGTGGCAAAGGCAAATTGTGCTGCGTCTCCCAAGGTTCGTGTATTTTTTTCATAGGTAGTTGAGAAATGACTTTATAAAAAAGTAACTTCTTGCCTTATGCTCTAGCCTATTTATTCTCTTGGAAAGAGCGTTCTTAGATTGTCTGAGTGGCAGTTGCTCTCAAGATCGTTTGATCTTTTGTTAGGAGAATTAAGTTGTCTTTCTCTCTCTCTCTCTCTCTCTCTCTCTCTCTCTCTATATATATATATATATATATATATAGACATATACATATATTTCAGTTCCTCCGCCCCTCTCAGAAAGCCCGGCAAGCTACCGAGAGCATCTCGCCCGTACGGCAAAGCCTGGCAAGCTACCCGTGATGTATTCTATATGCCAAAAAAAAGTAACAAAAAGTCTCACAATGAAGACGTTACTGGGCCCGCTCGAGCAAATCGATGAACAACGGGGTGACAGTGACAGTGATACACATATATACATAAATGTATATTTCTTAAACCCTTGAGTCAAAAATGGGGTTTAGGGCCGAGAAAGGTAGTTTAGCAGGCCGAGCAAATGCTTTGCATGCAGGAGACTTGGGTTTGATTCTCCAGCACCACATCCTCTGTACAGTCACTGCTGGGAATAGCCTCCACTCACTACAGGGTGTATCCCCCCAAAATGTTTTTAAGAGGTCGGTTTTTTAGCCACTTTGTGCTCTGATATCTTATACCTTCACAGCTAAGTGCAAGTGAGATAAGGCAGAAAACTTAGGTTTCAAATAAACTTTCTGACCCACAGAAAAATGCTGGGCATATTCTAATATACTAATGCTGTTTATAATGACCATTTATAGAGAGACTTTTGGGAATAGAACGATCTGTGCAACTCTAGTAGAAAAAATTAGAAGGCAAATTGAAATAGAAAAGATTCATGCAAAGTAACTTGCAAAGTAAGTTTTGTGACTTATAACTTGATTCTCATTTGTGCAAATTACTTTTTCTCTTTTGGTTTTTGGGCCATATTTGGCAGCACTCAGGACCTACTTCTGGATCTATGCTTAGGGATCACTCCCAGTGGGGCTTGGAGGACTATATGAGTGCCAGGGATCAAACCCAGGTTGGACACTTGCAAGGCCTCTCGTTTGTGCAAATTTTTAATTAGCATATCAGTGGTTGAGCACAGATGAAAATAAATTCCAGGAAATACATTCTTTGAATTTATCTTTTTTTTTTCCCCTTTTTCACAGAAGAAACCCAAATTGATCGGCCTAAAGGATTCTTCCATGGCCGATGCCAGCAAGCATGGTGTAGGAACGGAATCATTATTTTTTGATAAGGTAAGTAATAAATGAACTGGATTTTATATGGACTGTAAATGCCCAAAGGAAAAAAAAAACCACCACCCTGAAGATTTCATCAGTAAAATTTTGTTTGAAAGGTGTCAGGGTTATTAGGACTTCTGTTTTTAGACGTATTTTCTGATTTCTGAGTCCTTTCAATATGTTGCATCTCTTACCACAGTTAGAGAGAAATAATAGCAAGATCTGCTTCAGTCTTGTGCAGTGGTTTGCTGCAGAGTACTTCGCTTTCGATGGTGGAAGGCCGTATTTTCAAAACGTGTGATGGCTGGGGCTATGGCTCTGGTTTTGGAGCTCCCTCTAGTCAATCCCCAGGTTTGTACAGGGCTGATTGTTAATCCCCACACTGAATTGTTGAGACTTGGTAGAATGTAGGATATTCCGATCGGCTGTGATACTTACTTGTGCCGTCACATAGAAAGGTTTGTGGGGATTGATTTGCTGGCCGAGCTTCCAGATGATTGTAATGAGCAGTCAGTTGAGCCTGCTGGCGTAAACTCCGTTCTGTGGTACTTGAGTTTCACTCTCCACCTGTGTCTTACTTCCTCCTTGAGGTCAACTTGATGAATGTTTCTTTCATTGGAGTAACTGGTCAGCTGTTGAACCTCTCAGTGGCAGGAGCCAACCTAGATTGGTGCGGCGATGTACCCTGCCTTGCGCCTCTTGGTTCTTGCTAAAAAGGGCAAATGATTTAGAATCTCGGTGTTGCTGCCTCCTGCTCTCTCTGGAGCCTGCTGTGCTCTGTGAGTGCTCCTGCAAAATAACCAGGCTCGGGGCTCTGATCTGAACTGTTTCTGAGGGCTGCTTGGCATTTGGTTCTTCTAAAATGGGGCTGGGGGTGGTTGGACCACACCAAGTGGTGCTCGGGGGCCGCTCCGGCTCTGCTCAGGGAACCGTTTGTGGTGCCAGGGATTGAAGCAGGATGGCTACATATCTGGCAAGTGCCTGAAACCCTGCTGGGTCTCTCCAGTTCCGAAGTTGTTTTAAGAGTGATGGGCCGCTCTCTCTTCTCTCTCTCTGTCTCTCCTCCCCCGCCTCTCCCTATCTTTGAAATACGAACTATGTTAAGATGAAATGTCTGGAAAAGTTGCTTTAAAATTGAGTGGTTTAAAGGAAATGGCATAGACTTTATATGATCAAGCTGAGTCCTTAGGGTTCATTAAACTTCTGTTTGCTTTTGTTTCTGTTTAAAAGCTAAAAAGTGCACATGGTTTATGCTACAAAAAAATTCAGTGTCTTTTATGTTTGACTCTGAAAGTCTTCTCGACGGCGGATATGTTGTTAAGGAAAGTGTATGAGCCTGGGGAAGGGTCGCTTTGGTTCTTTTGTCGGTTCGTTTTTCCCTTCCACGCCCGTTTGTGCTCAGGGGCTGTTCCTGCTTCGGTGCTTTGTGTGAGGGGACTGTGCTGTGCTGGGATGGAAGCTGAGCTGCCTGCCGAGTGAGGTTAGCCTTTGAGCGATCTCTCTGGCCCCAAAATTGTTTGTTTGTTTGTTTAAAAAAAAAAACAGTTTGGGGACTGTCTGCAGTTTCCACTGAAGGACCACAATGCCAAATACTTTTGAAACTGGAAGTTCAGATTTCTCATCTAGTCTAGCCAGGTTAGTTTTGCTTTGTCTGGGCCATTCAACATTTCTAGTATTTGGATATTAAAAATGTTCAATATTGGGGCTGGAGCAATAGCACAGTGGGTAGGGCGTTTGCCTTGCACGCAGCGAACCCGGGTTCGATTCCCAGCATCCCAAAAGGTCCCCTGAGCACTGCCAGGGGTAATTCCTGAGCACAGAGCCAGGAGTAACCCCTGTGCATTGCCAGGTGTGACTCAAAAAGCCAAAAAAAAAATGTTCAATATTATAAATTAAGGAAAAGGACCAGGTCAGATGACAGAAGTGTCAAAAGAGCATTATTCAAGAAAATCAGAATTTGAAATGAGTATTGACAAAGATTATTGCTATAAACATCTGTTAAAAGAAGCAGCAAAACCTTGGGTAATTATGGTATGCCCTGAGAATCAAGCATATGAAAAAGAAAACGTGTTATTTATTTTAGGATCTTACATTTTTTTTGTACTTATTTATTTTATTTAGATTTTTATTAGTGAGTGAAACACCATGAGGTGCAGTTGTAGATTTACAAATTTAATTTTTATTAGTGAAACACCATGAGGTGCAGTTGTAGACTTACAAAGATTTACAAATTTTTGTGCTTGGGTTTCAGTTATACAGTGATTGAATACCCATCCCTCCACCAGTGCCCATTCTCCACCACCACTGAGGATCTTACATTTTTAAAGAATTTATTATAGGAAAGTTTAAAAAAAACAACATGAAAGGGGCTGGAGTGATAGCACATCAGGTAGGGCACTTGCCTTGCACAAGGCTGACCTGGATTCGATTCCCAGCATCCCATATGGTTACCCAAGCGCCACCAGGAGTAATTCCTGAGTGCATGAACCAGGAGTAACCCCTGAGCGTTGCCGGATGTGACCCAAAAAGAAAAAAGGAAAAAAACACCATGAAATTAAAGAGAAGGGGCCAGAGAGATAATTCGAAGGTACGGTGCTTGCAGTTGCATACACAGCCAACCCAGGTCAATCCCTTGCATCCCATTTGGTCCCCTGAGTACCACCACCAGTAATTCCTGAGTGCTGACCCAGGAATAAGCCTGAGCACCAGCCGTCTCCCCCAAAACAGACAAAAATCTGAGGTGATGTATCCCTTACCATCTTTATAGTTCCCAGCCACTTGCCAATGTGCTTTTTGCATAGATACTCTCATTTGCCCTAGATTATTTGAAAATAAATCCCAGACAAATTATTTATAAATGTTTCATTCTTTATATGTGTGTGTGTGTGTGTATAAATATATTTAACTCAGACTATCACATCTAAGATACTAACATTGATTTCTTCCGTATCTTTTCAAAGCAGTCCCGGTTGAGTCCCCATTGAACTGTTTCTGTTTTGGTTATCCCCAAGGTCCGAAAGGCTCTGCGGAGTACAGAGGCCTATGAAAATTTTCTGCGCTGTCTTGTTATCTTTAACCAAGAAGTGATATCTCGGGCTGAACTTGTGCAGCTAGTTTCTCCTTTCCTGGGGTAAGTAGAGTTTACCCTTTCGGCATGCTGTAAAGGTGAAGTGATCCACTAAGTTTGTGAGGGTGTTCGATTTAGTTGTGTCTGCTCAGTTGGCTCATAATGTCAGTGTCAAAGAGTGCTCTGGGAAGTCCTGCGATTCAGCTGTAGAGCTGAGAAAACAGACAAGGAAAGGAATAGGCCATTACTGGGTGGTCTCCTGATTCCCTGATCAGTCTTAGAGATGTCGAAACCGATCTCTTCCAGATTCTAGAATATTAACTATGATTGACTACCTGAGAACTATTTGACATTGAGGCAGTATTCATTGTTTTGGTCTTGAGGCCACATGTGGCGGGTGCTCAGGGGACTAAATGGGGGCCAAGGATTGTATCTGGGTCAGGCGTGTGCAGGACACACGCCTTCTCCACTACATTATCACTCTGACCCTGAGGCAGTATTTTTAATAAGAAAAATGACTGGTTATTGCTGAGTGTCAGTGTAACTCTTCCGTCACTTCTTCGAACATTCTGCAAGAAAAGTTGAGGCGAGATGTTGGAAGCAGTGCTTTTTAGACAGGCAACAATAATTGCTAGTGGAGTTTGCTCCTAGTTACACAGAACTGATCCAATACCAAATGGTGGTTGTCATAATTCAAAATAACTGCAGCTTGCTTCTAATTGCTTACCGGTTTTTGCTTTGATTCTCCAGGAAATTCCCTGAATTGTTTAATTGGTTTAAAAACTTTCTGGGCTATAAGGAGTCTGTGCATCTGGAAACCTTTCCAAAGGAGCGCGCCACAGAAGGCATTGCCATGGAGATAGACTATGCCTCTTGTAAGCGGTTGGGCTCCAGCTATCGGGCCCTGCCAAAGAGTTACCAGCAGCCCAAGTGTACAGGGCGAACTCCTCTCTGTAAAGAGGTAAGAGCTCCGTTGGAAGGATCAACCCTAAAAACGCAACTTGCTCCAGAAAGAAGTGATACCAGGGAGTAAGAATTGATATGAATGAGGAGATGGAGTGTCTTTTCAATCTTGGGATTAGAATCTTTTATTACTAATAGCTCTTCTGCTAAAGCTGAAACTTGTGTTAACCTTCTCTCCCTGGGAACTGTCTTTCTATTGAGACTGCTTATTGAGAAAGCTTTGTTTGACTTTTGTTCAATCTCTCCTTTACTCTTAAGGTTTTAAATGATACCTGGGTTTCCTTCCCTTCTTGGTCTGAGGACTCGACTTTTGTTAGTTCCAAGAAGACACAGTATGAAGAACACATCTATCGCTGTGAAGATGAACGCTTTGAGGTGCAAGCTCCTTTACTTGAAGTTTGGGGAAATGCTTAGAAAGTTTGAACCCTATCTCCCTATCTATGAGCACTGTTGTTGTTTTAAATACAGGCCACACTAAAGGCAACAGGGATGCCCTTGGGTTCTAAGGTGTGGGGTTGAGAGGACCCATGCCTCCCCCAGGTAAAGCATGACCCGTTACCCTGAGCTCCCTAAAGGTTGACTTTTTCAAGGTTGAAAACCAGAGATGGATAGCGGGTAGGGCATTTGTTTGCCTTGCATGTGGATGACCCAGGTTCAATCCCCAGCATCCCATATGGTACTGCAAGCACCAGCAGGAGTAACCCCGAGCATCCCTGGGTGTGACCCAAAAAGCAAAATCAGGAAAGCCAGGGGCTCACTCACACTCTTCTGTGGCAAATACTTGTCAGACTTAACCATGTTTTAAGAGTTTATTGAGTGTATTAATAATATTTGTATGACAGGTGAGACTTACTCTCTAAGCTTTACTCTCTAAGCTGCTTTATCACTTTTAACTGAATATCCATTGATGGTTATGTAGTAAATTTTTAATGGCATAAAAGGGCTGCTTTGTATTACATATCCTATAAAGCTGTATCTTAAGGATCACTTGGCTTTCTTGAAGTCATTTAAATTTATGTTAAGATAGATATTGTGGTGAGAGGGATAGTACAGGGGGTCGGGCACTCATTTTTGTGTTACTGACACCAGTTTGATCCCCACACCACTAAAGGTCACCCAGTCTCCCTCGGGAATGAGCTGAGCACTGCCAGGTGTAGTCCAGGACAACTCCTACCCTCCCCCCCCCAAAAAAAATTGTTATTCTTAGGATGTATCATGACATTGTTAGCAAATCAGATGAACTGTGAAAGCTGGGATTTTCTTATATCTGGTCGTGATCTGACTCTTGAGAGACGTTAAAGTAAGAACTTTATGGTAGGAAGGAGTGTGTGTGGGCCCCATACGAAGCTTTATGTGACCAACAGTGGCCTCATACCAGACAAGTGCTTTATCACTGAGCTACAAACGACCAACCCTAGATTAGAAACTGTTAACTTTTTTTAATGGATTTTTAGGGGCCAGAAAGATAGTTCAAGTGCACTTGACCATGCACACGTGTTTTATCCCAGGTTTGATCCCATGAACCACGTAAGTTCCCCTGAGCTTCACTAGGAGGAAGTCCTGGACACCGCTGGGTATGATCCCAAAACAAACTACCACATGATTGAAATTTATTTTTAAAAATAAATCCATCAGTGTCCAGGGCTTTCCCTGCCCCTCCCCCATCCATTTATTTTTTCGTTTTGAGTTATCTGTTGAAAAGAGGTGATCTTTAATATGTGTCTTTAATGCGGGGAATGTGTCCCCTGGCACAGGTGGTTTGTAGAGGAAGAGTCAGCCTTCATAAGACCCGTGTCTTCATTCGAAATGCAGAACCTGGGTGGGGAGGGACAGAGGAGACTCCAGACCTGTCACTGAGGAACCAGTTCCCTCAGGAGGCCAGAGCAGCTTGGATGTGGACACGCAGTCTCTTTTCAGAGTCCCACCCAGAGAATCCTCCTTTGCTGGAAGTCGAGTTCTGCCTCCTGCTACAGTCTGGTTTGTCTAAGAGAAGACAGCCAAGTTCACAGCAAGCACAGGGCTGAACATCCAAGTTACTCTTCTGTCGTTGTGTTAAGGGACCGACTCCTGGTGTTTCTTGGGTATCATATGTGGTACTAGGGATGAACCCGTGTCAGTGATGTGTGAGGCAAGGCCTTCCTCGTTTGCACTCTCCAGCCCCAGATTGCTTTTTATTTTTATTTTATTTTTTAAGCTTTTTTATTGAATTACTGTGAGATAGACACTTACAAAGCTGTTCATGATCGATTTCAGTGATACAGTATTCAGCACCCACCCCTGCACCAGTGTCCCCAGGTTCCGTCCACCTCCTGCCAGCCTCTATGGCAGGCGCTTTTCCGCCCTCTCCCCCTTCCCCTCCCTCCTCTCCTCTGGGCATTGTGGTTTGCAATATTGATACTGAAAGGTTACTAGTATGACGGTAATAGCTGGGAATGATCTGCTGGCCAAGATCTGAGGGTTTATGGTAGGTGAGGGATATAACATTGTTGATTCTGATATATACAGTTACCACTACCCTTGTGCCCAAAGTATTCTTCAGTTACTTCTGGTTCATCTCCTCAGTCCCTACCTTTTCTTCCCCCTAAATTACGAACTTTCAAGTAGATGAGAAGGGAAAATCTGAAGTGAAGAAAGGGGCTGGTAGAGAATCTCGGGGGAAGTCATGGTGGGTTCTGGGTCCCTGATCCATTTAGTTACCTGGTTAGTTCGCCGATAAGAACAAAGACCATGTGAAGGGGTTGGATTTGCTCTGTGTAAGCCTGGCCTGTGAACCTGGATTTGATCCCCAGCACCTGTACCACCTGGAGTGACCATGACCGACTCTCGGTACCACCCTGTTCCCAACAGTTTACCCAAAAAAAGATGGAAAGGATGTTAAGTGATACAAAGGATAAAATTACATTTTATTTAATGTGGCATTATATAAAATTGACCTGTTGTGCTCAAGTCTATGGATAGGGAAGTAATCTTTTAAAAAAAAATCTTTATTAGTTTATGGGGCTGGAGTGATAGCACAGCGGGTAGGGTGTTTGCCTTGCACACGACCGACCCGGGTTCAGTTCCCAGCCTCCCATATGGTCCTCCAGCAGCGCCAGGAGTAATTCCTGAGTGCATGAGGCAGGAATAACCCCTGTGTATCACCAGGTGTGACCCAAAAACAAACAAACAAAAATCTTTACTAGTTCAGCTCTGTGCCCATTGATGGCGCTTCACACCTAGCTTCAGCTGTTGCTGACAGGTTTTTGAATGATACATCACCTGTTGCTTGTCTACTCAATGCTGTAATTGAACATCTCTTCCACAGTGCTCCTGAGTTTTAACCATTTGCATAAAACTAAATTGTGACATGTTATCTTCTTTGGAAAAAAAAATTTTTTTTAAGAAGCCAATTAATTTTATTCTCTTCTTTTTTGGGTCACACCCAGCAATGCTCAGGGGTTACTCCTGGCTCTGCACTCAGGAATTAGTCCTGGTGGTGCTTGGGGGACCATGTGGGATGCCGGGGATCGAACCCAGGTGGCCGCGTGCAAGGCAAACATCCTACCCGCTGTGCTATCACTCCAGCCCCTTTGGGAAATTTTTATCAGTCTCAAAGACAGCATTTTTTTATTACCATTATTGAGTAAATTTAGACTATAAGTTAGAAAGTAGAGGTTAGCACTTTTTCTTTTCCCTTCTTTTTGGGCCACACCCGGCAGTGCCCGGGGCTTATTCCCGACTCTGCACTCAGGAACCACTCCTGGTGGGGTTCTGAAGACTATATAGGATGCTGGGGATTGAACGTGGGTCAGCCACATGCAAGGCAGGTGCGCTACGTGCTATACTATCGCTCGAGCACCCAACTCTTTTTCTCTTTTTGAATAGGGCGTTTTTTGTTTTATGTAGGGGGGAGGGGAGTTTGTTTTTCTGTGTGAATTATTTACTGCTTGATCTAGAACATTAACCTTATGGGAGAGACAGATTTTATCCCTATTTTATGGAGAAGGAAACAGTTTTATATGGCTAATAGGACCGAGGCTAGTGTTTCAGCCTTCTCGGTTTCAGTTCTGTTCTTGTGTAGGACTAAATATGCTACCTTTTTTCTACAGCTCGATGTAGTTTTAGAAACCAATCTGGCAACAATCCGGGTTTTGGAAGCAATACAAAAGAAGCTTTCTCGGCTATCTGCTGAAGAGCAAGCCAAGTTTCGCTTGGATAACACCCTTGGGGGCACGTCTGAAGTCATCCATCGAAAAGCACTCCAAAGGATATATGCCGACAAAGCAGCGGACATCATTGACGGATTAAGGAAGAACCCCTCCATCGCCGTCCCAATTGTCCTTAAGAGGTACCTGAGTGGAAGTGCCCTTTGTGCTTTACGATTTCGTGTCCCTGAAAATAAGGCGCTCATTAGCCCTGAAGACCCTCACTTTTCTCCAGCCCTGTTTGTTAGAAATAGGGTTTCTTGATGAGATTCTGTATAACAAGAGTAGAGAATGAACTTGCAATCCATAATGGAGTACTTATGTGTTTGTGTTTAAGAGTATTTGGGGGGTTGGAGAGATAGATAGCACAGAGGTAAGGTACTTGGCATGTATGCGAGGTTTAATCACCAATACCACATATGATTTCCAGGACTGATTCCTGAGCACCAATAGGTATGATACACACACACTCACACACATACACACATACACACACACACACACACACACATTTTATATGATAAAAGAACAAAGGAGGAAATTATGTTCCTGCTACTTACTGACACTTTTTTTTTTTTTTTGCTTTTTAAAAAGGAAAATTAGTCTTTCAAACAGTAGGGAGAACTCAGGAGAGCTAGTGTTCATGCTCTGTGTGCTGGACTCCTAGATTCTACCCCTGGCACTGCATGGTCTCTGGAGCACTACCAGTCATGATCCAAAAATTTTTAAAAAAGAAAAAAAGTATTTATAAAATGTATTTTCTCACTGGGCTGGAGCGGTAGCACAGTGGTAGGACATTTGCCTTGCGCGCAGCCAACCTGGCCGAGCCAGGTTCGATTCCTCTGCCCCTCTCAGAGAGCTTGGCAAGCTACCGAGAGTATCTCGCCCGCACGGCAAAGCCTGACAAGATACCCGTGACGTATTCGATATACCAAACACAGTAACAAGTCTCAAAGTGGAGATGTTACTGGGCTCACTTGAGCAAATCAGTGAACAATGGGAGGACAGTGTTTGTTTATTTTCTCACTATTTTTAAAACTTTGCTTGCTGGTCTACCAAAAATGTCTTTTGGGAGGACTAGAGAAATAGTCCCGTAGGTAGGGTGCTTGCCTTGCCTTGCTTTGCATGCAGTGGGTTCAGTCCCCTGAATCCCACCAGGAGAGATCCCTGAGCACAGAGCCAAGAGTAAGCCCTGAGTACTGCCTGTTATGGGCGCCACCACCCAAAATAATAATAATTATTATAATAATAAAGTCTTTCTGGGCCATGGATGTGGCTCAGTGGTAGAGCATGGCTGAGACTCCCACCACTGTTCCCCTCCGAGCACTGCTAGGTGCTCAAGAAGCAACAGTCTTTCTCTAAAGAAACCTCGCTAGTGGGACTGTTCACCCGTGCAGGCTCAGCATCAAGCAGGAGCCAGAACCAGAACAGTCTGGAGGCCACACTAGGAATCCTTGCCTGAGACCTGGGTCTGCTCTCTGCCACCTGGGGAGGAGGAATGCTGCCCAGGGCACGGGTGTGTGGGTATTACCCTTCCTTCCCCTCCGGAGCAGCCACAAATTAAACTCAGTTCTTTTTAGACTACGGACTTGTAGTGTAGGGTTCCGGTGCTGGGCTTACTTTCACTCTTGTCTGTCAGCTCTTGACAGAACTTCCCACCCTGCGTCGTTAGGCGCATTCATTGCAGAGACCTCAGCAGAAGTATGGCGGGTTTCATAGAAGTCCTGCAGTGGAGACACAGGTTGGACTTGCCTTAGTTGGCCAGGATGGGAACCCCCTCTTCAGGGGTATTGTGTGGTATATTGTTAAACTTTTGGAATGGTATTTCACAAAAACCGTTCTAGGTAAGATTTATGAGTTTGGACACAATATCCCTAGATACGTATACAGCCAGTGATTTTTTTTTTTTTCTCCCCTCACATAACAGAATTTGACTAGTTTGAATAACAACAGCCCAGGGTGCCTTTTTTTTAAACCTATTACACATACTGATTTTACAAACAAAGTGTACCTGACATATTTCTTACTCCTAAACCCTTATGAAAATAGGTTTTATATCCCCAGTTTACTAAGAAACAGTTTTATATGACTACACAGTTTATATGGCAGAGCAGAATTGCGTTCCAGGGAGTTTGACTCCTTACTTCATGTAAGTCTCTCATCTGAATGCACCCACTAGGTTGAAGATGAAAGAGGAAGAATGGCGAGAAGCTCAGAGAGGCTTTAACAAGGTGTGGCGAGAGCAGAATGAGAAGTACTACTTGAAGTCTCTGGACCACCAGGGAATCAACTTCAAGCAGAATGACACCAAGGTCCTGAGGTCTAAGAGCTTACTCAATGAGATTGAGAGTATTTATGATGAGGTGAGTCTTTGTTGAAAAGCTTTGATCTTAGAAATTATCTTTGTTCTATGAAAGTGCGGCTCTCCAAGGTCTGTTGATTCTTGCTTTAGAAACTATCATGTTTGGCAATGCCTGTTTCGAGCATTTTAAATTTAAGCCTATCTTTAGACCTAAACTGATACTTGTTTCCCAAATATCATCCTTGTTTTGTTATTATTATTTTTTTTTCTTTTTGGGTCACACTCAGTGATGCACAGGGGTTGTTACTCCTGGCTCATGCACTCAGGAATTATTTCTGGCGGTGCTCAGGGGACCATATGGCGTGCTGGGAATCGAACCCGGGTTGGCCACTTGCAAGACAAACAGCCCTGCCCGCTGTGCTATCACTCCAGCCCCATATCTTCCTTGTTTTAGCTTACCCCCACCTCTTCTGTTTCTTACCCTGTTTCCCTCATTCTAGTGGGCAGATCAGAAGCTCCTACAGTTGTTTGGCCTGCTGCCCCCTTTCCAGGAAAGGAAAACCATTCAACTCAGCACCATACTGGAGCTAAATGGTTTAGTGTTTTTTTGTTTAGTTGTTTTGCTTTTTTGGGTCATATCCAGCGATGCCCAGGGGTTACTCTTGGCTTGGCACTCAGGAATTACTCCTGGTGGTGCTGGGGGACTTATGGAATGCTGGGATTAATCGGGCCGGCTGTGTGCAAGGCAAGTGCCCTCCCCGCTGTACTATCGCTCTGGCCCCACTAGGTGTTTTTTAAGGAACCAAGTACACCTCATGCCACAAATTGCACCTGAGCTTGCTCACAACCCCAAAGGAGTAATATCACCCACTTTGGGAAATATTGATAATAAACTGTCTGAACTTTCCACAATTTGAATACTTTGTTAATCTGCCAATTTTTTTTCCTTTTATCTTTGTCTATTCCACACATTGACTGGGATTATATATGTAGCGCTGAGAACACTGAGGGGAAGAGAGTGGCGGGGAGCTTGAATCGTCTTGTGGGGCCAGAGAGTGGGGACAGCAAAGAAAAGGTCTTCTGTGCAGCTGCCCCGGGATCCATCCCCATCACCACATTCAGTCACTCCTGAGTCCCTACCAGAAACAGTCCCTGAGCGCAGCTGGGTATGGCCCAGAAACCACAACTTATTTGACCTGTTTCTAATAACAAAAACGGGCCAGTCTCCTAGGTGTGTTGGTTGTTGCTGTAAACAGCTCTGTAATGCTTTGCGTGTCCCTCTTCTCAGAGACAAGAGCAGGCTACTGAAGAGAACGCAGGTGTACCTGTCGGCCCACACCTTTCCCTCGCCTATGAAGATAAACAGATCCTGGAAGATGCTGCTGCACTGATAATTCACCATGTGAAGAGGCAGACGGGGATTCAGAAAGAGGACAAGTACAAGATCAAGCAAATCATGCACCATTTCATTCCAGATCTTCTCTTTGCTCAGAGAGGCGATCTCTCAGACGTAGAAGAGGAAGAAGAGGAAGAAATGGATGTAGATGAAGCCACAGGAGCTGCTAAGAAGCACAATGGTGTTGGGGGTAGTCCCCCTAAATCAAAACTACTGTTCAGTAACACCGCAGCTCAGAAGTTAAGAGGAATGGATGAAGTGTACAACCTCTTCTACGTCAATAACAACTGGTACATCTTCATGCGGCTGCACCAGATTCTGTGCCTAAGGCTACTGCGGATTTGTTCGCAAGCTGAACGGCAAATCGAAGAAGAAAACCGTGAGAGGGAGTGGGAACGGGAGGTGCTGGGCATCAAGCGAGACAAGAGTGACAGCCCTGCCATCCAGCTGCGACTCAAAGAACCTAGTGAGTGCTTGAACTGTTGGGATTCAGAGGGTGGTATTATGTATTTATTTATTTATTTATTTTTTTAAAAGCTTGTACTAACGGGGAAAGTCCTTGTCTAGTTTCAGCCTTCCTTTTGGTGAAGAACTGCTAATACTGGTTCTTAATTCTGAAACCTTTATCTGTGTTGATTCTCGCTGAGGGAGAGAAGTGCTGAACATAAATTGGTGATTCCATCTGGTTAGGTCGAAATAAGACAAAATTACCTAATCTTGGCCTGATCACTGGAGTGTCCCCTGGCTTGAGAATTATATAGTTTGGTCCTGAGTAGTTACTTCAAGCCACGTAGCTTGCTGGAAATATATTTGTTACCTGTACTCATAGCTTTATTTTGGCATAAAATTATTTTCCGGGGTGATAACACATCCCTTACTTATGCTGCAAATTTGAACAAGGTGATAACCCAGTGATGGAGCACAAGTCAGTTGCTTTTAAGTCATTGTTCTGCTCTATCTTTTAATGAGTATTTCACACCTTTTCTCTCACTTCCTTTTACTCCCATGCAAATTTTATATATAAAGGCAACCAACCAATCAGAGACCGTTGTTTCATAATTTATTTTTCATAACATGTGTTCTTGGGCAGGGAAGAATACCAGTGATCTATCGTAGGGCCTCGTACAAAGAAAACACATGACCTGCCTCTGTACTGCACCCTGGCCTCCAAAAAAAGGCCAGCTTTTTCCCTGAAGTGTAACACATGCAGAAAAGTACGTGAATCCAAATTGTATAAACCAGTGACTGTTTGATGTGAACATGCCTGTCTACCAAGTTCCCCGGGGAGGCGCAGAGCCCACCTGTCGCTAGTGGTTCTCCCATGCCACGGGCTTCATTTCCAGCAGTTGGGAACCAGGCCTTCCTGTTTGGGATCTACACGTGAGCGGGCCTGGTTTTCAGAGGCTGACAGCAGAGTCCTTTCTCCGTGTCTTCTGCACTCTAGTTGCCGATTGTTTGTATGCAGCTGGTGGTTGGGGTGCACGTGCAGTGAGCCAGAACATCTAGTGCGTCCATGGAGTACAGTGTTGAAAGTCCGTTTTCAAACAAGGGAACTTTGACAAATGCACATTACTTCATTATCCAGAGAAGGTTTCATTCGTGCTTCCACTCTTTGGTTCCTGAGAGGTTTCCTGGTGCTGGAGCCTGCCTTCTCTCTGCGCTTTCTGCTTCGTTGAGCTGCTTTATGAGCGAGTGACCCGCGCGTGGAATGCTCTTCTCTAGCTCGGAGAGCAGGTTCCTCGCAGCCGAGGAGCCCAGCCACTTTGTGAAGCGACTTGCCCCCTGGGCTATCTTGCTTTCCTCTCATGAGGAGTCCAGCCCTGCTGTAAAGACAGATCTTCCTGGCATGGTCAGTCCATGCTGGAAGCACCATTAAAAGTTGCAGAGTCACCCCCCTCAACTGGGGAGCACTGGTGCCGTCTGTCAGATTCCGCCTCTGTTGGCGGCAGGTTGCACTGGGTCTGTTTTGAATCCCGAAACGGTTTGTTCTTTCTGATGCTCTAGACTAGCCGTGGGTTTTGCCCTGCCTCTTCTCCTGGTCGTCTCTCAGGCGGGAGGAGGCCTCACTTCGCTTGTCTCTCCCACAGTGGACGTGGATGTCGAAGATTATTACCCGGCTTTCCTGGACATGGTGCGCAGCCTGCTGGATGGCAACATCGACTCCTCGCAGTACGAAGACTCGCTGAGGGAGATGTTCACCATTCACGCCTACATTGCCTTCACCATGGACAAGCTCATCCAGAGCATTGTCAGACAGGTGAGGCCCCGGAGAGGCTGAGAGGGAAGAAGTCTCAGATCAGGCAAAGAAGCACTCAGATTCTTGTTAGAAAGGGAAGGTCTGTCTCCTCATTTCACTGTGTTTATGAGCATCAGATTCTGGAGGAGGTTAAAGTCATCTTGGATTTCTCGTGGTAACCAAATCTGGTTGCCCTTTGTATGTACTTCTGTGCTCCATATAGTGTGAGCCTGTTGTCGACTGGAGACTCAGTTGCGCCTTTCATGCCGGCTGCCATGAAAGCAGCCAGAGAGCACTGGTTCTGCTCCCAGCTCCCTTCCCTTGCTCTTGTCTCGTCTGCCAGGGTGATCTCTTGGCAGGTGACATTTCCTTCCTTGTGGCTGCTGGTATTCTGTGTTCTGACCTCGTTAAATAGCCACCCACCTCACTCTCGGGGGCCCCTCAGAGTTAGATTTGTGGTTGGCTTTATGGTTGGTTTCTTTGAAATTAATTCATTCAGGTATGTGAAAGGGCTAAAATTCAGCAGAATGGAAGAAGCCAAAAATATCAGTGATCTGGGAGACATTAAGCACATGGCATCATCGATAGGTAGTAAGAGAAAAAGATTTGTTTTCATTTGTTTAGAGGCCACACCTGGCAGTGCTCAGGGCTGAATCTTGGCTTTGTGCTCAGGGTTTGCTTCTGATAGAATTGGGACCATATTGGGTGCTGGGGACGGAACCAAGGTTAGCGCCTGCAAGGCAGGTTCCTTACCCACTGTGTTCTCTTCAGCCTGGAGATCCTTTAAATTTGTGTTTGTTTGTTTGTTTGATTTTGAACCACACCAGGCAATGCTCAGGGGGTTCTCCTTACTCTTCATTCAGGAATCACTCCTGGTGGGTGCTCGGGGAATACCAAGCTGGGATACCGAGATTAAATCTGGGTCAGCCATGGGCAAGACAAGCGCCTTGCCCACTGTACTATCTCTCTGGTCTGAGATTTTTTTTTTTAACTGAAGAGTGTTTAAAATATTTAATGGGTAAGAGCATTCAAGGTAAGACTAAACCTCAACCAAATGGGGATAGAAGGAATCTACTCCAGATCCTAGTGACATCTACAACAAACCCACAGCCAACATCATACTCAATGGCAAAAAATTAAGCCTCCCTCTGAAGTCATGTAAAAAGAAAAAGTGTCCACTGTCTGCTGTTGTTTAAGAGTCTTAAGAGGCCTCACCGCAACGGCTTGACAAGGAAAATTAAAGGGATTCCAGTTGGAAAAGAAGAGGCCAGCAAGATACTAAGGTGCTTGCTTTGCATATGACTGACCCAGATCCATCCCTGGCAACCCATAGGTCTTCTGAGCATTGCCAGATGTGGACCTCTCTGTTTTGAGGGAAAACTTAAACTATCACTATTTGCAAGTGACTTGCTGTACATAGAAGACCCTATAGATTCCTCTAAAACATTTAGAGACGTGAGGCCAAGAGGCAGTATTGGGTTTCCCGCCGCCAGAATGTTCCTGTGTGGTGGAGATCATACCTTGGAGATACTTCATGCTGCTGCTTTTCCTGGTCTTTCTCAGCTGTTTAGCTTTTTTTTTTTTTTTTTCTGCTTTTTGGGTCACATCCAGCGATGCACAGGGGTTACTCCAGGTTTATGCACTCAGGAATTATTCCTGGCGGTGCTCGGGGAACCATATGGGATGCTGGGAATCGAACCCGATCGGGCCGCATGCAAGGCAACCGCCCTACCCGCTGTGCTATCACTTCAGCCCCTGTTTAGCATTATTTTAATGATCTCACAATGATCTCATAGACTCCCTTTTCTAGACTCAATTGTAATTTAATTTTTTTACTTTTTCACTCCTGCGACCCTCAAATCACTCCATATTCTGACGTTTTTCACTTCCTGCGACCCTCAAATCACTCCATATTCTGACCCTCTATTCTCCCTGTGCACATCTGAAGATTTACCTGCCATTAAGACTTCAATTTTGAGGACTAGGGAGTTCAAAGGGCTGGAGCTACTTTGCATATGGGAGCCCCAGATTTGATCCCTAGCACTGCGTGGTCCCCTGAGTAATTCTGGCTATGGTCCAAAGACAAAATGGTTTTCAATTTTATTTCACCTTCCTTTGTTACTTTGTTGTCATTGTAGTGACTGCCCAGTCACTACACTCAGTTGTGTTCTCACACACTTGCAGTTCTTGTTGGGGATCACACATTTGAGCTCCACATCCTTGAATGCGCCAGAGATTGCCGCTGAACTGGCACCCAGTATATGAGTGTGCTAGGGGTCTAACTTGAGGCCTCCTGGAAGTGCAAGTGCTCTGCCACTGATCCACATCCCTGGGCCCCAAGACTTTTTAATGTTAGAAATAATTAGTTGTCATAGTTACTGGCACTTCGAAAAGAATGTATCTTTCTAAAAATAGAATAGTGCAATGACAATTTTAAAGACAAATTGTTGTTGCAGTTAATGTTTTGCTTTCTTGGTCTGCTTGTCACATTCTCTGAATTTTGATGGGTATTAATTCATTTAAGGAAATTTTATTTCACAGTAGTAATATCATTCTGACCTGCAAGCATGAGGACTTTGAAAGATTCAGCTTCCTAGTCATCGGTTAGTTTCAGTAACATAGCTAGAAAGCCAGGATTAGGATTCAGTGGTGGAACTCAGTGCATGTGTGAGGCCCTGGGTCTGATCTCAGTACCACCAAAAAAGACAAAAGTCAAGAGATACTACATCGGGTAAACTTCCCTTGCACACAACCCATCCCATACAGACCCAATATCCCATTTGATCTCTCAGGCCGTGCCAGGAGTGAACCCTGAGAGCAGGGCCAGGATTCTGAGTTAGCCTCAAAGCAGACAAATGTCATGACTCATTTGTGATTGCCTTGTGCTAATAGAATGAAGAAAGAGTACTGGCCCTAGTACTTGAATTTAGCCCCACACACTCCTACAGCGAGTCCTCCGGGGCAGTTAATTCAGTACCTAATGAGTTGCATAGTTTGTCCTAGAACTCGGAGTACAGGCATAGATCTTGCTTCCCTAGTACTTCTCCCTTGGCACACAGTGAACTTTCTCACCGCCTTTGTATTTTTTTCAGTATGACCAGGTACCCTTTTCAAGCTTTCATCCCATGGTAATTGTATGAACAGGTGAAAATATCTGTGAAAGCCATAAGTGCTAAAGAAGTGTCAAAATAAAAAAGCTATGGAAATTTTCTTTCATACAATTTAGCTTTCAACTTTTTTGTCAGGGTCTCACTGCATAGAGCTCGGTTAGAAAGGGGTCAGGGATAGCCAGGACATGTAGGGAGCTACTTGGGATTAAACCTGAGACCTCAAGCCTGCTAGGTGTGTGTTCTGCCACTCGAGGTGCACCCCGACCCCTCCAGGACTTTTTTTTTTCGTGTTTGGTCTTTGTAGCGTCCAGATGGGCTCAGGACCTTACACATGCAAAGCAAATGCTGTACGATGACCTTTCTCCCTGACGCCACACCTCCACACCTGGGATTTACATTGACACAGGCAAAAAGCAAACGCTGTGTGTATGATGGTCTCTGTCCCGTCCATGCAGCCACCCCTGCCACACACACACCTGAGTTACCGTAAGGTTTTTTGTTTGGGAGTCACGCTTTATGGTGCTCAGGAGATTGAAATCGAGTCTCCAGCATACAAAACATGCGTTTGTGTTCTCTTTTCCCCCTATTCCGTCCTGTAAAACTTGGCTTTTTAAATAGGTGTGAAAGGGAAGAGTCATGCACCAATGATATGATTGAAATTTTGACTTGTCTACTCTCACAAAAATAATAAAATAATGGTGTAGAGTGGTAACCGTTCTAAAGTTACCAGTCCAGAGACCCACTTGGAGGTGAGGGACCAAAACCTCACGCTCGTGTGTGCGGGAGAAGCGGAGAGGTTGGCTCGCTGACAGCTGTGTGGTTTGCTTGCAGCTGCAGCACATCGTCAGTGACGAGATCTGCGTGCAGGTGACCGACCTCTACCTGGCCGAAAACAATAATGGGGCCACTGGAGGCCAGCTGAACACACAGACCTCAAGGAGCCTCCTCGAGTCAACGTACCAGAGGAAGGCCGAGCAGCTCATGTCAGATGAGAATTGCTTTAAGGTGAGTTCCTCCCATCGCTGGGACCCAAGCTAGTCCTTGAGCGACTCTGGGCGTGGCCCTGGTGGGGCGGGGCCAAGCAAACCGCGGCACCAGACCTGAGCGTTGGACCAGGGGTGGCCCCAATCCAGAGACCCGGAAAATCACATAGAAACTGTGCTGGTGACACTGCAAGTCGTTGATCGTCTTCACCAGAAGTCAGAGCCATTTCAGGGTACTTTGACCCCGGGACTCCATTGGAACTCCGTAGACTTCTGTGAGCTTATTGGAGAAAGTATAAAAAATACGGAAAAGTACGACTGGTTTTGTTTTTTGGTCTTGTTTTTTGCTTTTTGGGTCATACCTGGCAATACCCAGGGGTTACTCCTGACTCTGCACTCAGGACTTAGCCCTGGCAGTGCTCAGAGAGCCATATGGGATGCTGAGAATCGAACCTGGGTTGGCTGCGTGTAAGGCAAACACCCTGTCCGCTGTGCTATTGCTCCAGCCCCCAGAGTATAACTAGTTTGAGTTTACTATGCTACTAGTGATGCCCTCCCCCCGCCCACCAACAAAAAGAAAAAATCAGTCTGCATCCTGGGAGGTGACTCTCAAAGGGCCAGATGTCTGCCTACAGTTGGGAGCCCTAAGTCCATACTGGCACCACCAAGCAGTGAACCTCTGAAAACTGCTGGGTGTCACCCCAGATTTGGTTTGATCCCAAGCACCGTGTCAAGGTTCCCCAAGTGTCAAAGTAGAAGTAGCACCTGACACTGCCAGGTATGGCCCGAATCAAATGATGAGTGAGTCCGCTGCTCTGAAATTGGTATCCATCAGCGCCCATGGGCATCACTTGAATGAAGTGGAATCTTTTCCGCTCTCCTAAGAAATTGTTCATTCCCACAGCATATTGCGTGTGTCTAGAATAGCACTTTCATAGTTGGTTTAGTGATTGTGTGAATACAGCCGTTTAAATGCCTGTTCCCTTTATTAAATTGCGCCGCCTCGAACTGGAGCCCGTGAGCGCCGCCCTGTTTGAATAATAGGCATTTGGCTGCCTGTCGGGTGAATGAAGTGGCATATAGAGAAGGGCTGCAGACGGTAGAGGAACTTCAGGGCCAGACCAGACCAAAAAGTTTGCGTTTTCCTATGGTTGGCGAGTGATGACACATGCCTACCACCCCCGACTAGGAATTGAATCCAGGGCCACCTCAGACATGCAGGGGAAATGCTCGACCACTAAGCTGCATCCCTAGTGCAAGTTGGAAGGGGCATTCCCAGAAGAGTGTGTCCTGGCTCTCACTCAGGAATCGCTTCTGGTGGGGTTCTGGAAACCATATGGCATACTGGGAATTGAACCCAAGTAGGCCGTGTGCGAGGCAAGACCCCTGCCTCCAGCCCCATGTTTGTATTAATTTTATTATTTTTGTGGCTTGAGTTCTGTGCCTGGCGGGCTCGCGTGAGGCTTACTTGTTATTCTGCACCCTGGAATTACTCCTGGAGGTGCTCGGCAACATACGGGGTGCCAGGGATGGAGCCTACCTCGGCTTCAGTTATCGTTTTACTCCTTTAAGGAGTACGAGACCCAAAACGGTGCGATTTTCTTTAACGCCTACTTTCTCTGATAGCAAAACAGGAACTTTGTCTTTGTCATGACTGACTTTCTGAACTTCTGAGTGTGTGCATTTCCTCACTTGGGGTACAGTTTTGTGACTTCATTGTCTCTTCACCCTCCCCCCCCCCCGCCCTGCAGAAGAACTCGGTCATGTGCTTGGCTGTGGCCTTTCGTTCACGTTCAGGTTTCTCATTTGCAGCTTATGTTCATCCAGAGCCAAGGCCAGGTTCAGTTGACCATTGAGCTTCTGGACACTGAGGAGGAGAACTCCGATGACCCCGTGGAAGCAGAGGTATGGACCAGGGGCACTGTAGGGAGAGTGTCGAGAAGCCTGTCGTGTCCGGAGAGCATGCCCAGGATTGGCTTCGAGAAGCCAGGGCACCCTCTGCTGCCGAAGGGCCGGACATGGTGCTTGGTTCATAGAGCATTCCGGCCTTTTCCTCAAGGGAAGGGGAAAGCTGCCTAGTGTAGGCAGGTAGGCAGGTCGGCAGGGTTAATGGCAGCCTCATCTACCTCCCTCGCTTTTAACAGATCCATTTCCGCAGAGATGATTTGGTTGGCAGCTTCCCTTTCTCCCCCCTAAAGTACAAGAAACAGCAAATGAGGAGCCATCTGTCTCGTGGTGTCATTCCCACCCACCTCTCTTGGTTTTGTTTGGATCGCACCCAGCGTTCTGAGGGGCTGCTCCCGGCTTTGTTTTGGGAGTTGTTCTCCTGGCAGTGTTTGCAGGGCCGTGAAGTTACCGGAGATCTAACGTTGCGTTTTCTCCGTGCAAAGCGTATTCTCCAGGCTGTTGCGCCATCTCCCTGGCCCTGCCTAGTGTTATCCTGGCTGTGTATCATAATTCCTTTTTATTGGAATAGATGAAGCCAGGAGTTCTTACCCCACAGAATAGTCATAACCATGTAAGGTGGTTAGCACAGGTGTATCTAGGATCTAGGTGGTCATTTCTTTCTTTCTTCCTTTTTTTTTTTTTTTTTGCTTTTTGTGTGGGCTGGAGTGATAGCACAGCGGGTAGGGCATTTGCCTTGCATGCAGAACCACGGGGCCGACCCGGGTTCAATTCCTCCACCTCTCGGAGAGCTCAGCAAGCTACCAAGAGTATCTCACCCGCACGGCAAAGCCTGGAATTCTACCCGTGACGTATTCAATAAGCCAAACACAGTAACAAGTCTTACAATGAAGGCGTTAATGGGCCCGCTCGAGCAAATCGATGAACAACAGGAAGATAGTGCTGGTGCTTTTTGGGTCACACCCAGCGATGCACAGGGGTTACTCCTGGCTCTACACTCAGGAATTAACTCCTGGTGGTGTTAGGAGGACCATATGGGATGCTGGGAATTGAACCCGGGTCAACCGCGTGCAAGGCAAACACCCTACCCGCTGTGCTATCACTCCAGCACCCTAGCAGGTCATTTCAATGAAATGTTTGCTACGTATGGTATTCCGGGAGATGGGAGGTGGGCTTTTTTTGTGATCCTCTTTGTCTGTACTTGCTAAATAATTTTTGTATTTTTTTTTCTTTTTGGGTCACACCTGGAGATGCACAGGGGTTACTCCTGGCTCTGCACTCAGGAGTTACTCCTGGCGGTGCTCAGGGGACCATATGGGATGCTGGGAATCTAACCCGGGTCGGCCGCGTGCAAGGCAAACGCCCTACCTGCTGTGCTATCTCTCCAGCCCCTATTTTGTATTTCTTGATGCTAAAAATCTGTTAATATGAAAGATCCTGATTTCCAAACTACACGTAGTTTTTGACACATACATTTGGTTCTTCAACAAAGGTTCACAGGGGGAATAAAACTTGATAGTGAGCTTCAACCCATTTATGACTTCCGTAACTTTTACATGTCTTAGAGAAACTGCATCAGAACTTCAGCGCAATGAAATTTTTAGTCAGGAAATTTATTTTATTTAGTCTTTAAATTTTGGTTTTTTGAACCACACCTGGTGATACTCAGGGTTTATTCCTAGCTCTCTGCTCAGAGATTACTCCTGGGGGGGTTTAGGGGACCACATTTGATTCCACAGATTAAGCCTGTTGCAGCACATGCAAGGCAAATGCCCACCTGCTGCACTATCACTCTGGTCCTCCTTCACTCATGAAATTTTAGAGTTTTCGTCATGAAACAGACTTCTGAAGAAGCGTTTCAAAGCATTCATTATAGAAAGACATTTTAAGATCAGATTCTTTTAATCTTAAAATGTCTCATATAATTTTACTCACAGCATTTGCCAGACTCTCTCTCGAGGACGGTGTTAGCTTTCGTGTTCTCTCCTCAGTCCTATTCTGTGCTTTTATTTCCAGCGTTGGTCAGATTATGTGGAGCGATACATGAATTCTGATACTACCTCTCCTGAGCTTCGTGAGCATCTGGCCCGGAAACCAGTATTTCTCCCAAGGTGAGTCCTTGGCAGCCCACGCCTTGTCCGTGATAGAGGATGGAGAGTAGGTGACTTTCAGATTCTTGGTTTTCACTTAGTCTGTTCATTTCTCCTCTGTGCTCTCAGCCTGAAGGTTTGCGTGGTGGATGTGCCACGGCTTACCTGAAGCTCCTGCCAGAGCTGTAGGCGGGTACGACTTGTAAAGAATCAGCAGGACCTTCCCTCTGTTGTAGGAACGTGTGGGAGGGATTTTCCAAGGCTTGATGATTTACTGGGTTGACTCACAGGACTCACAGTCAGTCACAGTGATGACTTATTGCAGTGAAAAGATCTGACGCTAAATCAGCAAAGAAAAAATGTGCCTGTGACCAGGAACAAGGAAGCCAGTCCCCGAGTCCCAAGAGTCCTTTTCAGTGGAGTCACACATGGCACAGGACGCTTCAGAATAACGAATCTGATGTTGTCCATCAGGGAAGCCCCTTAGACTTATCACCAGTAGTTATTGACTTCTAGTAGTTCTGTTGTGTTCACTTCGGTTCCTTTTGCCTAGCATAAACCAAAAACTCTGGACAAGTTTTTCAACATGAATCATTTTTGGTGGGGTTCCTCTCCCCTCATTTGTGGGGGTAGGATGGGGTGGGGTACTTGTTTGAGGATTTTTGTTTAAGCCCACACCCTACGATGCTCATGGATTATTCTGCCCCCAGGGATTACTCCTGGAAGTGCTAGGGGAACCATATGGGATGCCAGGCATCAAAGCTGGGTTGGCCATATGTAAGGCAAGCACCCTTCCCGCTGTGCTCTCTCTCCAGACCCCTTTTTTTCCTTCAGTTTGTGTTTGCTTGGTTTTGGGGTTACACTGGTGGTTTTTGCAGTTTACTCCTACTCTGTGCTCAGGGATTATAGCTGGAGGGGCACTGTGTAGTGTCAGGGGTCAACTGCACGCGAGGAAAGCTCAGTGCCCCCTGTGCTACTACCTCTCTAGCCCTTCAGTTTTGTTGTGGTGGTCTCAGGAACTGGATCTTGGACCACATGCAGAGCTGGTGCTCTCTTCAATAGCTGTATTTCTGGCATTGACCAAGATTTTTTTTTTTTTTGCATAAATAATTGATTTGGGTTTTTTGTTTGTTTGCTGTGTGTCTTTTTTTTTTTTTTTAATTGTTGGAATTTTGGGCCACACCCTGCATTGCTCAGGGTATGCTCTGTGCTCAGGGTTCACTCCTGGCAGGGTGGGCCATCATGTGCAGTACTAGGGATCCAGCCCAAGTTGGCTCTGTGCCAGGTGAGACTCCTGCCTACTATACACTGTCTCTCTGACCCTAGTTCAAACAGTTTGGACACAGTCACTCTCATTGTTAAAATGTATCGGAGAAAAAGTTCGAAGATCATAATACAAACAGCTTGTAAGCTTGTCTTTCAAAAGGTGATCGTGGCCTAGGATGCTCACTTTCCCTCTCAGGGAATTTCTTGAATTCCACTAGATCAACCCCCAAAACTTTTGTTTATGTGAGTAATCTATACCACGTTAGAATTAAAATTGAGGGTCCTACAGATAGTACAGAGTTAAGGCACCTGGTGGTGCATGCGGCCCGCCTCAGTTCAACCCCAGCATTTCATGTGGTTCCCCAGCACGCGAAGGGAATCCCAAGCATGGGTTCAGGAGTAGCCCCTAAGCACCGTCGGTATGGCCTGACACATCCCCCCCCCCCAGTACAAATTCTAAAAAAATCAATTGGAGGGGGTAGGGGTTTGTGGGGGCGGGGGCACACCCAGCAGTGCTTAGGGTTGACTCCTGGATCTGCACTCAGAAATCACTCCTGGTGGAATTGGGGGACTATATGGGATGCCGGGGATTGATCCCAGATTGGCTGCATACAAGGAAAGCACCCTAGTGGCTGTGCGATCTCTCCGGCTTTAATAAACATTAAACCTATTACACATAAGCAACAACAAATTAGTGAAAAGAGTGCTATTATTGTCCATGTTTTCAGATTGGTTTTCATGTCTTTATTAGCAGGAGCAATTGAATTGCCGTATCGGTTCAGTTGGTGGGAATACCTAATGATTTCATATGATTCAACATTGGGTTTGTTGCACTGTTGTTTGATTGAAATATGTGAAGGAATTTAGGTCTTAAATATTTTTAACGAAAAAAAAGTATTCTATATCCTTCCAGATAATTTTTTGTTGTTTGTTGATGTGAGTTTCTCTTCTTTCGTTTGGAATTGGAATGGGACTAGCTGTGTTCTGTCTCTGGAAGAATTGAAGCAATAAGCAGTCAAATAATTTTCGGTGTTCTGTGGTTCGGATGAGAGCCTCTTGATTTCTGTTAAGGAATGGTTAAATTAAGACATTTCTCTGCAGCCTTTAAAGAGAAGGAGACAGGGGCTTGAAGTACAGCAGGTAGTGTGTTTGCCTTGCACGCGGCCCACACAGGTTCGGTCCCCAGTACTCCATATGGTCCCCCCAAGCCCCTCCAGGAGTGATCCTGAGTGCAGAGCCAGGAGTAACTCCTGTGCATTGCCAGGTGTGACCCAAAAAGCAAAAAAAAAAAGAGAGAGAGAATTAATACTAAAGTGGCAAGTCATCATGACATTAAGTGAAAAAGAAAAGAAATGTGTGTAAGGTAACCCTACTTTGGGATATGGCTCAAGGTGCTAGAGTCCATGCTTTGCTCTTCATACTTTCAAGATATCGCCATACTACATGGTACTATGAGCACTGCATTGGGAGTAGCACCTGCGCATTCTGGATTTGGGCCATGCCTTCAAGATTTTTGGACTCCTCCCCCACGGTTTTTTTTCTTTTTTTGCATCACACCTGTGATGCTCAGGGGTTACTCCTGGCTGTGCACTCAGGAGTCATTCCTGGCGGTGCTCAGGGGACCATATGGGATGCTGGGAATCGAACCCGGGTCGGCCGCGTGCAAGGCAAACCCGCTGTGCTATTTCTCCAGTCCCGGCCGTCCCCCGCCACGTATCTTAAAAGAATAATCCCAAGCGTGACTGTGACCTGCCTTACATTTGAGAGCCGCTGGGTTTGATCCCCAAGCACCACTAGAATTTTTTCTTACTCCTATCCAGAGGCAAGGAGATAGTACAAAGGGTTGGAGTTCCACGATCATCCCTGGGAGTGATCCTTGAGTGCTGCCAAGTTAGACACAAAAACAAAAAAAATCTAAAACACAAAGCAAATAATTGCACATATGTAAATTTTGAGAGGCCTAAAATATTTTGTTTTTGTTTGGGGGCACTGCTGGCTGTGCTTACAGCTCACTCCTGTTGGTGCATATGCAGTGCTGGGGATTGAACCCAGGCAGGCACTTCAACCCCTATGCTGTCTCCAGCCCTGGCCTAGAAAGTGGGTTCAGGGGCCAGAGTCAGAGAATATGGTGGGTTGCATGTTTGCCTGGGATGTACGTGATGGCTGACCTGGGTTTGATCCCTGGCACTCACATGGTCCCCCCAAGTACTACCAGCAGTGGCCCAAAAATGAGAGAAAAGTTGATTCAAAATACTTGCCTACTTCTGCCAAAGTAAGTGGGATTTGGAGAATTGTGGTAGCAGGTTGAAGATTTGTGGTGTTTCGATTTTGGACCATGCCTGGTGCTCCTGAGGCTACTCCAAGCTCAGTCCTTGGGAGTTGCTCCTGGTAGTTCTTGGTGGTGTCATGGACTCCTGCACACAAAACTCTTGCATGCCAGGCCTCTTGCAAACAAAACATGCATTCAGCCTATTAAACTATCTCTCTAGCTCAGATTTCTTTTTTGTTTGGGGAGCCACACCTGGTGATGTTCAGTCTTACTTCTGGCTCTGTGCTCAGGAATCACTCCTGGCAGGGTCAGGGGACCTTATGGGAATGAGGATCAAACCTGGTCAGCCACGTGCAAGGCAAGTGCCCTACCCTCTGTACTATCTCTCCGGCCCTCCAGTTTAGCGTTGTGCTTTTTATTACGTCTGCAATTTCATTTTTAAATTTTTACTCACACCCCCCCCCCCAGTTTTTTGTTTTGTTTTTATGAAACCACTGAACTCTTTTTACATAGATATAACTAAAATTATAAGTACTGTGAAGCAGATAGGAAAACTCCTTTCAAGGGAAGTCTCGTAAGTGTTCAAGCTGAGCTCTGATCTGTGGAGCATTTTGCTTTCTAGGAATCTGCGGCGGATCCGAAAGTGTCAGCGTGGTCGGGAACAGCAGGAAAAGGAAGGGAAGGAAGGAAACAGCAAGAAGACCATGGAAAACGTGGAGAGCCTAGATAAGCTGGAGTGCAGATTCAAACTCAACTCTTACAAGATGGTGTACGTGATCAAGTCGGAAGACTACATGTATCGGAGAACCGCCTTGCTCCGAGCTCATCAGGTGAGAAGTGCGAGTGAAGTCTCCTACTAGCGTCTCCCCGTCTGCTTGGGGCCTGGCCCACCTAGAGGCCTCTGCTTATCTTCCTTCGTGAAAGCCTTCGGATGGGTTTGAAAATCATTGAGTAAGTGTTCATTTGTTATGGATGCCAAAACAGAATGCCAGAGATTGTGGCTTCAACGTCAGGAAGGTACTCCAGAGGCCCCAAGTCTCACCTCTGAGGGTTGACAGGGTTAGTTCAAGCCTTCTGAAGGCTGTGTGGGAGAATCAGTGCTGCCTTTCCTGGCCTCTTGGGGTTTGCTGGTAATCCTTGCCGTTCTTGATGTGGTCTCATTCTTTGTTTTTTTTTTTTTTTAATGAATCACTGCGAGATACAGACTCACAAACTTCCGTGATTACGTTTCAGTCATACAGTGATCGAGTACCCGTCCCTCCACCAGTGCCCTTTCTCCAGCACCAATGTTCCTAGTATCCTTCCCACCGCCCCCGCCTCTGTGGCAAGCATAGTCCCTTTTACTCTCTCTCCTTTTGGGTGTTACGGTTTGCAGTAGCACCGTAGCACTGTCCTTCCGTTGTTCATCGATTTGCTCGAGCGGGCCCAGTAACATCTCCATTTTGAGGCTTGTTGTTACTGTGTTTGGCATATTGACAATGCCATGGGTAGCTTGCCAGGCTTTGCTGTGCGGGTGAGATACTCTCGGTAGCTTGCCGGGGTTTGCAGTACAGATAGTAATTGGTGTCCTCATTCTTGACTCGATCTCTATCTTCATGTTCACCTGGTACTATCTCTGTATATGTTCATATTTTCCCCTCTTAAGGATTCCACTCACACTGGATTATGGGCCCACCCTAATGCAGTAGAACCCATCTGATGACATTTTCAATAACTATTTCTTTTTGTTTGTATGTTTGGGTCATGCCTGGCAGTACTCACGGTTACTCCTGGCTCTGCACTCAGGAATCACTCCTGGTAGTGCTTGGGGACTATATGGGATGCCAGGGATCAAACCTGGGTCGGCCATGTGCAAGACAAATGCCCTACCCGCTGTGCTACTACTCCAGTCCCAATAACTTTATTTCTAACTAGCTGATTGCAGTCTCTCGGGATTATAATCTCCAGAATTTCAGCATCTGCATTCATAATAGCTAATGTCATCTTCTAGGGAAGCTACTTTCAGTATTTGCTTTTTTTTTTTTTTTTAGGGGGAATGGTAATGGAGGGGGGGGATACGCCAACAGTGTTCAGAGCTTACTTCTGACTCTGGCCTCGGGAATCACTCTTGGTAGTGCTCAGAGGAGGACCTTATGGGGTGTTGGGATCAAACTTGGATTGGCCACGTGTAAGACTGCATGACCTATCCACTGTATTGTCACTCCAGCCCAACATTTCTATATTTACATTTTAAGTCACCCCACCTGTTCCCACATTTTGTCTCACACACCATATACTATATCAGACCTGATGGTTTATTGCCATGGAATAGGTCATGTAAAGTTGTATATATGCATTAACCAAAGACATGTTTTTAGGGAAACTGACATTCATACAGGCCCTGCTTTCATTGGAGAAGGCCTCTCTAAGGTGATACAACACCAGGGAAGTGATAGAGATGCGATTGTAAACGTTGGAGGTAAAATGCCTGCATCATCGTCAGGATTTATTCTATTCGGAGGCTTTTTCCTCCACCTGAGCAATTGGGAGTTTAGGGGTGGGTCCAACTCTTCACATGAAGAACTTAATGCGAGGTTGCAGGCAGATCGAGCACTCTGTTGTGAACTCGGAATACTTGAAACATTTTGTAAAGCGTGGGCATTTTAAGTTGTGTAGAGCTGAGGACTAGATTCTGTCGCACGTGGCACGGGCACTGCCGCACCGAGCCCTGGCCGTTGGGAGCCCACTCACTGTGCGACTTTCTCCTCACGCTGTTGGGTCATATGTCTGCATGTCTCTGGTTGGATCATGAGCAGAATCCGGAGCACCTCCATCATCTTTGTGTCCCCTGCTCAGCCCTGTTCATTGGCAGCATGAATATTTACTGGGTGCCTACATGGGGACATCATTGCTGCGCTCAGCTGGGCTGGGTGGGGTCTATTTTTCTTTTAAGAAAAAAAAAAAACTTAGAAGTAGGAACCAGAGAGATCGTACAGCAGATAGGGAATTTTATTTGCATATGGCCGACCTGGGTTCAATCTCCAACATCCTGTATGGTTCCACAAGCACCACCAGAAGTAATTGCTGAGCATAGAGCCAGGCATAACCACTGAGATTGCCCAGGGTGGACTCAAAACAAAACTTAGAAGTGGATTGTTTTGAAGTGGCTGAAGAGATAGTACATCAAATAAGACACTTGGCCTTGCATGCACCTGGCCAGGGTTTGATTCTTGGCACCATATATGGTCCCCTAAATGCAGAGCCAAAGGGAAGCTGTGAGCACTGGTGGTTATCTGGTGGTTATTGCCCAAAAGCAAAATAAAATTTTCTTTTCTATTTTATTCGGGGTGTGTGTGGGGTCACACCCAGCGATGCTCAGGGGTTACTCCTGGCTCTGCGCTCAGGAGTTACTCCTGGCGGTGCCTGGGGGACCATATGGGATGCCAGGAATTGAACCTGGGTCGGCAGCATGCAAGGCAAATGCTCTACCCACTGTACTATTGCTAAGGCCCCAAAATTTTCTTCTTTAAACTGAAGAAAACTGGGGGCTGGAGTGATAGCACAGCAGGTAGGGCGTTTGCCTTGCACGCGGCCATCCCAGGTTCGATTCCCAGCATCCCATATGGTCCCCCGAGCACCGCCAGGAGTAACTCCTGAGTGCAGAGCCAGGAGTAACCCCTGTGCATTGCCGGGTGTGACCCAAAAAGGGGAAAAGAAAAAAAAACAGGGAGAAAAAAAAAACGGAAGAAAACTTGAACCTACACCTTTTCTATTGTTTTGTTATAGTCTTTGAGGACAGGTGAAATGACTCGGGTAGAGCTCTGTATGCATGTGGTCCTGGGTTTGATCCCCGTAGTACAAAGAAAGAAGAGGAAAAATAAAGGAACGAGCCAGAAAGATAGTAGAGCAGGTAGAGCAGAGCTTGCTTTGCACACAGCCGGTCTGGATTCGGTTCCCGTCATTCCGTACAATCCCCTGAGCACTGCCATGAGTGGTTCCTGAGTGTCGAGCCAGGAGTGATCCCCGAGCGTCGCTGGGCGTGACCCCAAAGCAAAAGGGAGCAGGAAAACAGACCTGGGCTTCGTGTGTGAAGGGTGCTCGGTCCCAGCTCACAGTCGGTTCCTGTGTTCTCTTCCGCAGTCCCATGAGCGCGTGAGCAAGCGGCTGCATCAGAGGTTCCAAGCCTGGGTAGATAAATGGACCAAGGAGCATGTGCCACGGGAGATGGCCGCGGAGACCAGCAAGTGGCTCATGGGCGAGGGGCTGGAGGGACTGGTGCCCTGTACCACCACTTGCGACACAGAGACCCTCCACTTCGTGAGCATTAACAAGTACCGTGTCAAATATGGCACCGTATTCAAAGCCCCGTAACTGCAAGAGCAGAGCAGATAACTTGAGGGGGGTGTGTGTGTGTGGGTGTGTGGGTTTGTGTGTGTGTGTGTGTGTGTGTGTGGAGGGGGGTGGGGTTGCGGGGTGGGGGTGAGGGCACTTGCACTCACACACTGAAGAAACAAGGAAGATGCCTTCTCAAGCCTCACTGGGCCTCTCTGGGACTTGGCCACCGATCGTGTGGCTAACGCAACCTGGCACCGAGTGGGCTGCAAACAAGGAACATGGAACCTTACAGAGCTGAAGCTGGAACTTTCCCCGAAGGGCGTTGAGTGTTAGCTCGCCCCGAAGCGGAAAGGAAGCCTCTGCAAGCACAGAAACACGCGGTTGCTTGCGCACACCAGCAGGGCTGAGGCTGGAGTCTCCGGGCCTGCCCTTCCGTGGCGGGAACCACGCGCTGTTCCCTCTCCGACTGGACGGCTGTGCGTTCACAGACTGGGGAAGCACTCGCTCTCAGATGGATTGAAACTCTGACGGTCACTGCTCTTCTCTTCTCCCCCAAAGAGACAAAAACTGGATTTGACCCCTCCCCTGTCACACGAGCACATCTAGATCACCCATTAGGTTTTATCCGGGACCTGCAGTTTGGCTTTGGGATTGATCGTTTTGTGGATTTGATTCCTGACAAATCCTTTGCTGCCTACCCTGTATTCTTCTCTGGTTCTCAGCCTCCACAAGTTCAAATCAGTCGTCCTTTCTAGCTCCCGTGGAACTGTTTTGTACCTGCTTCTTTACTAGTCTACCCTAGTGCCATCCACCAGCTTTACTCTGACACACACACACACACACACACACACACAGTTTTAACTTGGATTTTTTTTTGTAAATATGTACATATTGTCAATTTTTTATTAAAAGAAATATGCTTTGATGTGCTAGCATAACTGCTCTAGCTTCTTGTGTACCATAGTACTATGTGGCTTCAGATTTAGTACCTATGAACAGATGTACAAGACATTTATTACACTTTTTACCAAAGGGAGTTACTGTTGTAGTACTTTTGTGTAAAACTTGTCTTCCTCCTTGCCCTAACCTTCCCCCTTTTTTTTCTTTCTTCCCCCCCCCTTTTTTTTTTTTTTTTTGTAAATAAATAAAGCTTGGTTCTTACTTAAGGAATAAAGCTAACCCAAGTCCCTTGTCCTCACCAGAGAACTATTGTAAAGCAAGGATCTGGGCTTCTCATCCACGGTACAAACAGGATTTTGCTCTAAATAGTTGCACTTCCCTATATCAAAATATCTCCAAATTTTTTAATAGAGTATATTATTATTTTAATACATGTTTTTCCTTTGTTTTATCTGGAAATATATTTGGGTAAATTACCCAGTTTGTATTTCACTCTCTTTTTTCTTAATCTTTATTGGAAGTAGATGTGAACACCTTAAACGAGAATTGTGTTGTATAAGGTATGTGGGATGATTTTGGGTTGGGAGCAAGAAGATTTGATATATTTCATTAGCAACTGCAAATGAAATACATTTTTTAATTACATAAATTTAAGCTGATGGGCCTATAAACATGATTTAAGATCTTCGTATGTGATCAGCCTGGACTCTGAGGAGTCCCTCCTAATACATGGATTTTTTTTTCCCCAGAAACCTTTACTTACCCTAGTCTTAGTTGAAAGATAACAGTATTCGCTTTTGAATAAAAATCCCCAGACCACCACTGAAAAGCCACACATTTTTTTGGCTTCTCGACTTTGGACTTCCAAACACGATAGACTTCTCTGATTTCGTAGTGTCTCTTCCCGTGGGAGAGGACAGGAGACTTGGAGTCACACCCCGGAGTGGCCTTGGAGGAGTTGGAAGACTAAGCTGACAGTGCCTGACCTGGGGTGGATGAGACACATGCAAAGACCCTCAGCGTTTCCCAGCAATAATCACTCACCCCCATCTCTCCTCAGGGGAGAAAGATTATGCACCTGGAATTCTGGCGGAAACTGGGGGGCTGGCCCCCAGTCATGACCAACTCTGGTGTCCTGTCCAGGGCACCTGCCCGAAGGCCAGGATAGGGTGTCAGAGCCACTTGAAGGGCGAATCCCAGCCCACCAGAGCGAGCAAAAGGTGGGGAGCTCCAGCTGGAGCCGCGGTTCTCGCAAGTAGCGTTCCCATTGCTCCGCCTGCTGACAGCCGAGCTCTAGACTCTGCACCCAGCCTGGATGATGACAAGATCGTTTGGACCATCTGATGCTCTGTAGTCCCGCTAGTCACCTCCCCCTGCGATCTGAAATGTTGTAAACTTGGTCAGTGTTTCCATTAAAATATCAGGGCTACTGGTGTGCATATACTTTTCTTCCGGTGAGTTCGTAGGCGAGGACGCTGGGGCAGAGGAAGGAGCCTGCGGACCCGAAGGGCGAGGCCAGGAGGGGCCCTTCTGGCCTTGCGACGGCTCCAGCCTGCTGCGACACCTCAGATTCGGAGTCTGGCCGCGACCTGCCCTCCGGACGTCCCCAGGCATCTCGGGCGACGGACGGGGCCGGCAGCAGGTGGCCTGGCCGCGGCGGCCAACTCCTGCAGGCGAGGGGCAGGGCCCGGCGAGTGGAGCCCGGGGAGGGTCCCCAGCGCCGCTGCCTGCGCCCGCCGCCCCCCTGCGGCCCTGGGACGGTGCGTGCGGCGAGGACCCGGCTGCTGGCTGCGAGGCCCCGGGCGGTTGGTGCACGCGGGTCCCGGCAGCCCCCGCCTCTGCGAGTTCAGCCGAGCCCCCGCTCGGGTTGCTCAGAGGCGCCGGGCCGGGGCCGGGCGGGCGGCGGTGCTCCCCGGAACGCCGTCCGGCCGGAACCCGTTGCGGCCGCACCCGGCACGCCGTCGGGGCCCCAGCCTGGCGGACTCCCCGGTGCTCCCGGAACAACGTCCGGCCGGAACCGGGCGCCGCGGGCCTTCCGGAGAGCGGCGCGCGGCCATGGCGGCCCCGGCCCTCAAGCACCGGCGCGCCACGCTGGAGCGCGTGGAGAAGTTCATCTCGCCGCTCTACTTCGCCGACTGTAACCTCCGCGGCCGGTGGGGCCCCGGGCCGGGGCGGGGGGCGGGGGGCGGGGGCGGGGCCGGCCGGGGCGAGTGGGGCGGGGCCGAGAAGGTGGGGGCGGGGCCTATGGGGGCGAGTGGGGCGGGGCCGGGAAGATGGGGGCGGGGCCTACGGGGGCGAGTGGGGCGGGGCCGGGAAGGCGGGGGCGGGGCCGGGAAGATGGGGCGGGGCCAGGCCGGGGTGGGGCGGGGCCGGGAAGATGGGGGCGGGGCCAGGCCGGGGTGGGGCGGGGCCTACGGGGGCGAGTGGGGCGGGGCCGGGAAGATGGGGGCGGGGCCAGGGCGGGGGCGGGGCCAGGCCGGGCGCCGCCCACCCGCCGCGTCCCGTGTCCCGCGTCCCTCCCGCAGGCTCTTCGGGGACCGCCGGCCCGCCGCCTCCCTGGCCAGCTTCCTGACCCCCGAGCGCCTGCCCTACGGAGACGCCGTGCGCCAGCGCTTCCGGCCCGCGCGCCTCGGCGACCGCTTCGGGCCCACGTGCGTGACCCCGCGGGCCGTGTCCCCCCCACCCCCCGGCCGTCCCGGCACCCCGCAGGGTCCCCCGGCACCGCCAGGAGAGATCCCCGCGCGCAGAGCCAGGGGGACCCCCTGAGCTGAGCGCCGCCGGGTGTGTGACCCCCCCCCAGCCAAAACAAACAAACGGAGCCCCTCGGGGACCACGCACGTAGGCGGCACTGGCCTGGCCTGCAGCCTCGCGGTTCCATCCCCGGCGTCCCACGTGGTCCCTGGGCTCAGAGCCAGGAGTGAGCCCTGAGCATTGCCCGCTGTGATGGGCCGAGCAAAACCCGAAAGCCAGCAGAAAACGAAGTACCGTGTCATGCACGTGAATGCTTGAAGAAAGTCTCACGCCCCCTGCTCCCGGTCCTTGATCCTAGGAAACAGGGCAGAGGAACCGGGCTTTGACCTCTCGGTGCGCCCTACGGCTCTCTTGCAGATGGTGGACCTGTTGGTTCCAGGTGGAGCTGACCATCCCAGAAGACTGGGTGGGTCAGGAAATTCACTTTTGCTGGGAGAGTGATGGAGAAGGCCTGGTGTGGCGAGATGGGCAGCCTGTCCAGGTGAGGAGCCCTGCTCTAGGGACAGGTAGGGCCACCCCACAGCCCGTAGCCCCCCCTGTCCTAAGGTAGCCCTACCTCAGAACTGGGTTGCTGTGTGGACAGCGTCCCTGACACACTGGGAAGTTGAACGGGTAGCTCCCATGCCTCCCATGATTACCACTCACCGCCGCTGACCAGCCACCTTCCCTGCGTGGCTAGGTAAGTGCAAACCCCTGTCACCTAGTTTTTAGGTTTATTTTTCGTTTGGGGCCTTATTTTTTGTTCTCAGTGCTCGGGGCTTGCTTCTGGCTCAGGGATCACTCCTGGTGGTGCTGGGAGATGGGTGCCAGGACCAAACCCTGGTCAGGCTCATGGCAAAGCAAGCACCTTACCTGCTGTACTGCTGTACTACCTCTCCAGTCACAATTTTTAGTGTTTAACTAATTGTCTTTTTTTGTGGGTTTTTTTTTTGGTTTGTTTTTTAGGGGATCACACTCAGGAATTACTCCTGGCTCTGCACTCAGGCATTATTCCTGGCTGTGCTCGGGGAACCGTAGGGGATGCCGGGGATCAAACCTGGGTAGGCTGCATGTAAGAAAAGTGCCCTACCTACAGTATTATTCCTCTGTGCCCCTGATTTTTCATATATATATGTGTATATATATATATATATATATATATATATACATATGATGGACCTGTTGGTTCCAACCAATATATATTTTTCATATATATGTGAAAAACAGATACACACACATATCGCCTTTGAGGGGAGTCTTTCAGATTGTTCTTGATAGTGAGAAGCAAAAAAATTAAAGTTTTAGTTTCCTGAAGTACTGACTCTCTCCCTCCTATTCACAATCCCCCACTGGTAAACACTAGTGTCTTCTTTATACTCCACCCATATCAATTCCAATAATTCTGGTGTTTTGGTTTGGCTGGGTTTGGTTTTTTTTTGGGGGGGGGGGGGCGATGGCGATGGTGCAGAGTGTAGGGTAGGGTTAGGCTCTACCTGGTGATGCTCCTGGCTGTTCTTGGAGCTGGAGAGAGAGTACAGCACTCTATATGGTTCCCCCAACCCCTACCAGGAGTGAGCCGTGAGCTCAGAACCTGAAATAAAACCTGAGCGCAGCTGGGTATGGACCTCCCACCACCCCCCAAGAAATCTTCCCGGGCCAGAGCCATAGTACAGCAAGTAGGGCGTTTGCCTTACACGCAGCCGACCCGGGTTCGATCCCCGGCATCCCATATGGTCCCCTGAGCACCGCCAGGAGTAATTCCTGAGTGCAGAGCCAGGAGGAACCCCTGAGCATTGCTGGGTGTGACCCAAAAAGCAAAAAATACAAAAAAAAATCTTCCCATACTGAAAGAAGGCAAAGGGGAGGGGAAAATGGCTGTAGAGGCTGGAGTGCATGCTTTGCACAGGGGAGTGATTCCAAGCACCATGCCAGGAGTTCTCCTGGGGCTCTCTGCCCCCACCCACACGTGGCCAGCCCCCACCTTCCCTGTCCCTCTCCCTGTTCAGCACACCTCTCTCCTGAGTGCCTTTCTGGGGCTCCAGTGGGGCTGAAGCAAGCCTGTCCTGCACACGGCAGTTTTCCTTCAGAGCCACCAGAAGCTGCAGCCATGTGTCCTGCCCCCTGCCCAGGGTGCTTCCCGTAAGACCAAGGGCCTTTCTGCTGTGAATTGGCTGCACTTGATGGTCCTGGCACTAGTCCTCTGGTCTGGGGCACTTGCTGGCAGGGTTCCAGCTGTGTCGCTGGAGAGAAGAGCCAGAGCCGGCAAGCCCTCTGGGGCCGGCCCCCACCCATGCTCCTTCATCCAGGCTGGCCCCAGGCCTCAGATCCTCTCTGTGATTCACTCCCTCCAGGGTTTGACCAAAGAGGGGGAGAAGACCAGTTACATCCTGACCGACAGCCTGAGGGAAGAAGACCCCCGAAGGTGAGTGAACCCCTGTGCTGGGGCGTGGCAGGGCGGGCTTTGTCAAAGGCCCCGAGGGACCTTGGAAACACCCCCCCATCTCCCATACAACAAGCTTCAAGTCTCCTAGCTGGTCACAGCAGGATTTTTCCAAGAGGAGTGTTTGCCTTCTCGAGTGCAGAAAAGCCCAGAGCCCCACACCCCCACACCCCCCCAGGACACAGGTGACGGTTGCTAGCAGCCCTGCGGCCATCTCAGTAGCACTTCCAGGTGTGGTCTTTTCTGATACCACTTGGACATTTTATGGTGCCGTTAAAAGCTCTTCCTAGACATTACCGTTGTCTCTTCTCTCAATTGGATGCTGTGCCCCATGTCTCCAGACACTGGGGCTCCCGAGTGATGTGGTCCCCAACGGGGAACTGAAACCTGCTCACTTCACCTGCCCTGACCAGGGGCTCCAGGAAAAAGCTCTGGGGACGCAGAACAGGAGCTCCACCCCAGACCTGGGGAATGTGATAGGAGGAGGGCTGGGGTGGGCTTTGCCAGGGGCGTCCTGCGTGCCTTCTGAAGACAGCAGCAACCTCCTGGCCCAGCTGCCGCGCCCTGCCTACCTCCACGGTAGCCGCGGGAACTTTGAAAGATCAGACCTCGGAACTCTGAACAGGGTTTTAGTGGGCAGGGAGGGCTCCAGGAGCAGGGCAGGCCTCTGGGAAGACAGCCCTCAAAGCGCCGGACGATAGGACAGCAGGAATGAATGACATTTGCCTGGCACACAGCCAACCCAAGTCCAATCCCCAGCATCCTGTATGGTCCCCCGAGCACGGCCAAGAGGAGCTCCTGAGTGCAGAGCCAGGAGCAACCCCTGTGGGCCCACCCACCCCCAAAAAAAGGACAATTCTGGAATCAAAGATTGATTGTTCTAAGATTGTCCGGCCCCGCCTGGCTTCCACTCCCCAGATGGTGGCAGAGCTGTTGCTGGCTGCCATCCCCAGCCTGACCCTCAGTGCTCACCTGTGCTCCGTTTGCTCCTGGAGGGGTTGCTGGTGCCTCCTGGGAGCCCCGGGCCTGAGGCTGCCTCTCCTTTGTAGCCTCACCCTCTATGTGGAAGTCGCCTGCAACGGGCTCCTGGGGGCCGGGAAGGGCAGCCTGATCGCAGCCCCAGACCCCGAGAAGACGTTCCAGGTGAGCCGAGCAGAGCTGGCCGTGTTCCGCCAGGACGTCCACAGGCTCCTGGTGGATCTGGAGCTGCTGCTGGGCATCGCCAAGGTACTGACCCCCCAGCTCTCCCTCACACTCTCGAGCTCCACAGACACAGCCGTCTCCGGGGTGAGAGCCTGGGGTCCGGGCATCTAAGACAGGGTCCGTGCCTGCGTGTGAGAGGATGTCCCTGTGCGTGTGGCGGGGGGGCACGGGTCCAGGGCTGAGCGGGAGGGGGTCACCCCACGGGGCTCTGAGGGCAGACTCTGCTGCAGGCTCTGGGCGAGGACAACCAGCGAAGCTTCCAGGCCCTGCACACAGCCAACCAGATCGTGAATGTGTGTGACCCTGCCCAGCCTGACACCTTCCCAGAAGCCCAGGCCCTGGCCTCCAGGTTCTTTGCCCAATGCGGGGGTGAAAGTCAGCACACCCTCCATGCCATGGGCCACTGCCACATTGACACAGGTAGGGGGCAGTGAGCATCCAGGAAGCCCTGTGAGCCTCAGCAAGCTTTCTCCACTCCCTTTCGTTTCGGTTTGGTTTTTGGTTTTGGTTTTTGTTGTTTTTTTTTTTTTAATGTAGGAGTACTACGATTTATTCAGCCACTGATTAGGCTGATTGAATTGTGCATGAACTCCACCCGGTTTGGTGTTTGGGTCACACTTGGGGCTTACTCCGGGCTGTGCACCCAGGGATCACTTCTGGCGGGGCTCAGGGGGGCCATATGGGATGCCAGGGATCGAATCCGGGTCAGGCACATGCAAGGCAAACACCCTACCCACTGTGCTATCGCTCTGGCCTCAGTTTGTGCCACTCTTGGGCCTTTGACTTCCTCTCACCTTTAGACCAAGCCACGGGGACTGGTGTGTGGGTTCTGGTAGCTGTGCTGCCTCCTGTGACCCCTGCTGGACCATGGCGGGAGGATCGCAGGGACTGGCGAGAATCCAGCACTGTTGGTGCCCTGATGGATTTGTGGGGACTGGGAAGCCTCGCTGGGTTGGGGGAATTCAAGAGAGGCTTCCTGGAGGAGAAGACCTTTGACACTGGGAATGAGTTATGAGTTTGACTAGAGTTCCCAGGTCCTGGGAGAGGAATGACGGGAAAGTCATGGGGAAGGGGGCTGGCACCCTGGGGTGGCGGGGGAGGTTTCCTGGGGAGGATCAGAAGTTCAGATCTGAACCTGGTGAATGCAAGGTCTTAGGGGATGTTCACGCTTATAACAAGCTCCCCAAGGGTGAGGATTCTGGTGCAGCTGCAGTTTCTGAACCACAGACAAAGACTTGCTCTGCTGGGCCCAGATGTGGCAGGGTCATGGAGCCCTCGGAGGAAGGAACTGAAGCCACCCCCCGGAGGAGGACTCGGGATGGGGGAGCCGTGCCCTCTGTCTCCCAGGATCCTGGGCACGGCCAGGCTGTTGCCTGCCCCCTGCATTTCCCCCCCTGAGAGAATCATCCAACAGTCCCCCTTCTTCCCTCCACCAGCAGAGTGATTCAGAGTGACAGCTGGGACAGGAGGCTTCTGTCACCCTCCTGAGGCCAGGCCCGGGCCTGCTGGGGCACAGTAAGGGGCGAACCGGGGCTCTTAAACGCTCTCTCCCCGCTGTCCCCTCTGACTCTAGCCTGGCTGTGGCCCTTCAAGGAGACGGTGCGCAAATGTGCACGGAGCTGGGTGACAGCCGTGCAGCTCATGGAGCGGAACCCCGACTTCATCTTTGCCTGCTCTCAGGTCAGGTGCAGCAGTGGGCGAGGGGGCCGGGGGGCTGCTCGGACCTGATGGTTGGCCCCTGCCACAGCTCTGCCCACCTGTCCCCCAGGCCCAGCAGCTGGACTGGGTGAGGAGCCAGTACCCAGGGCTGTATGCCCGCCTCCAGGACTTTGCCTGCCAGGGCCAGTTTGTTCCCGTGGGGGGCACCTGGGTGGAGATGGTAAGTCGGTCAGCTCCGGGGCTTTGCCGGGACTGTTTGCGGACGCTCATACCCCACACCCCCAAGGTCACACTTCTCCTCCAGCCCCCAAGGCCACAGGCTCTGGGGCGGGCGTCTGTGGGGACCTGTCCTGGGCCCCCGGGTGATCTCTCTCGCCCAGAGACTGAAGGCGCATGTCAGAGGGCCCCACTTCTCCTGCCTGGGGCAGCGGCCCAGACCCCCTACCCCCGGCACTCCCCGCCCCCTGCATGGGTTTTCTAGGATGGGAACCTGCCCGGCGGAGAGGCCATGGTGAGGCAGTTTCTGCAGGGCCAGAAGTTCTTCCTGCAGGAGTTCGGGAAGATGTGCTCAGAGGTAGGCGACGCGCACTGTGCCGACCCCCTTGGAGGCGCGGGGCGGGGCTGCTCTGCCAGGACCCCGCTTCCTGACCCCGGAGGCCCTTTCGCTCCCCAGTTCTGGCTGCCAGACACATTTGGCTACTCGGCACAGCTCCCCCAGATCATGCTCGGCTGCGGCATCAAGTACTTCCTGACCCAGAAACTCAGCTGGAACCTCGTGAACGCCTTCCCGGTGAGCTGGGGGCAGGGACGGGACACGGGCTGGCCAGGGTCCTGGAAGAGCTCCCCAGGACCCCCAGGCACGGCCCACCCAACTTGGCTTGCTCTTCCACAGCACCACACCTTCCTCTGGGAAGGCCTGGACGGCTCCCGTGTGCTGGCCCACTTTCCCCCCGGGGACTCCTACGGCATGCAGGGCAGCGTGGAGGAGGTGAGGCCGGGGAGAGGAGGCGGGCAGGGACTGGCTTCTGGCCTGGGCCACCCCGCGCCAACCTGCCACTCCCGCAGGTGCTGAAGACTGTGACCAACAACCGGGACAAGGGCAGGACCAATCACAGCGCCTTCCTCTTTGGCTTTGGCGATGGCGGCGGTGGCCCCACGCAGACCATGCTGGACCGCTTGAAGCGGATGAGCAACACGGACGGGCTGCCCAGGTCAGGCCTGGGCCCGCTCCCCCCACGCGGCCTCTGCTTCTCAGGGAGCGTCCCCCACCCGGGCCGCTGCTTCCCTCTGCTCTGGGGGCCGGGCTGCAGTCGGTGCCTCCCTGCAGGGTGCAGTTCTCTTCTCCCGAGCGGCTCTTCTCGGCGCTGCAGAGCCAGTCGGAGCAGCTGTGCACCTGGGTCGGGGAGCTCTTCCTGGAGCTGCACAATGGCACCTATACCACCCACGCGCAGGTCCGGGAGTTGGGGGGGCTGGTGCACAGGCAGGTGCTGAGATGGGGGAGCACCTGGCAAGCCAGTCAGGCCCCGTGGAGGGTAATAGGCGGGGGAGGGGGGAGCTGGGAAGGGTGCCGAGACCCTCAAGCAGACCCGGCTGAGCCCCTGCCCCCTGCTCAGATCAAGAAGGGGAACCGGGACTGCGAGCGCATCCTGCACGACGTGGAGCTGGTCAGCAGCCTGGCCCTGGCCCGCAGCACCCAGTTCCTGTACCCTGCTGCCCAGCTGCAGCGCCTCTGGAGGTCAGCCCGCTGCCGGCCTCACCCCCGACCCCTCCTGGGCACCTGTTCCCCCAGCCTCATCCCTCCCCGCCCTGGCCCCCCACAGGCTCCTACTCTTAAACCAGTTCCATGACGTGGTGACTGGAAGCTGCATCCAGCTGGTGGCCGAGGAGGCCATGGGCCACTACGAAGGTGAGGCGGTGAGGCCAGGCCCAGCCGGTGCCCCTGCCCCGCCCTTGGTGACCCAGGACCTCACGTCTCCCTGCAGACATCCGCGCTCAAGGCAGTGAGCTGCTGAGCGCTGCAGCCGCTGCCCTCTGTGCCGGGGAGCCGGGCCCCGAGGGACTCCTTCTCATCAACACGCTGCCCTGGACGCGCACGGAAGTGCTGGCCCTGCCCCGGGCCGGCGGGGCCCCCAGCCTAGGTATGCGCCCGAGGGCCAGGCCAGCCAGAGGCAGGCCCCCCTGGCCCCTGAGCAGAGCCCTGACACCCAGGTCCTCCCCAGCCCTGGTGACAGTGCCCAGCATGGGCTACGCGCCCGCACCTGCCCTCACCTCCCTGCCATCCCCAGCACCCCAGCAACCTGTGTTCGTGCTGCAAGAGGTGAGGGCAGGTCTGTCCCAGTGTGTTTGGGGGGTGGGGGGGGCATGAGTGAAGCGGGATTGGGGGGAGTGGGGAAGCCCCCTGCAGATTGAGCCTCAAGGACCCTCCCACCAAGACCGACGGTTCCGTGACGCTGGACAACGGTATCCTCCGGGTGAGGCTGGACCCAACAGGCTGCCTGATGTCCTTGGTGCTGGTGGCCTCCGGCAGGTGCCAAACCCTCCCTGTCTTCACCCCAGGCTCAGCAGCTGGACCCCACTCCCTTCATCCCCTGGCCACAGCCACCACACCCCATTACACACACACGTGCGCACACACCACACACACACACATACAGAGCTACCCCCTCATACAGACACGCACACATGTACACAGCCACCACCCCCCTATACATACACACACACCAAGTGCTTTTAACTGGACCCACGCAGGAGTAGGGCAGGCTGGGAGAGGGGTCCCTTGTACCCACTGCACACGCACGCGCACACACACACACACACACACAGAGTAGGGCAGGCTGGGAGAGGGGCCCTCTGGATCCACCGCCTGCCTGTGTGGCGGACGGCGGGGCGGGACCACTGGACAGCCTCACTCGCCTTGTCCTTCCAGAGAGGCCATTGCTGAGGGCGCCGTGGGGAACCAGTTTGTGCTGTTCGACGATGTCCCCCTGTACTGGGATGCGTGGGATGTCATGGATTACCACTTGGAGACACGGTGCGAGTGTGCGGGGCTCGGGGGCAGGGGGACACGGGCTGCCGGGCGCCCCTGCCCCCAAGCGCGCTCTGCGCTCTCCCTGCTGTCCACAGGAAGCCGGTGCTGGGCCAGCCGGGGACCCTGGCAGTGGGTGCCGAGGGCGGGGTGCGGGGCAGCGCCTGGTTCATGCTGCAGCTCAGCCCCAACAGTCGGCTCAGCCAGGAGGTGGTGCTGGACGTCGGCTGCCCCTACGTCCGCTTCCATACCGAGGTAGCGGGGGGCCAGGGGGACTGGGAGCTGGGGGGAGCCTTTCCCCCCAGCTGATGAGCAGGGTCACCCAGGTCCATGCCTCTCCCCTCTCCCTCTGCTCCGCACCCTCCCCCCCAGGTACACTGGCACGAGTCCCACAAGTTCCTGAAGGTGGAGTTCCCGGCCCGGGTGCGGAGCCCACAGGCCACCTATGAGGTCCAGTTTGGGCACCTGCAGCGGCCCACTCACTACAACACGTCCTGGGACTGGGCCCGATTTGAGGTCTGACACGGGAGGGTGTGGGGTGCTGGTACAGGGTCCTCCGAGCCAGGCAGCGAGGGATGGCTGTGGGGTGTGGGGGGAGGAACACGCTCCTGGCCCAGCTCGCTCGCCGGGTGTAGTGGATTGGGGACTGCCAGGAGCAGGCCAGGTAGACAGGCCGGGTGGGCCAGGCAGTGGCCACTGCATGGCGGCCCCTGGAGCGCTGTCTGTCCCCCCCCACCCCCCCAGGGATGGGCGCACCGCTGGGTGGATCTGTCCGAGCACAACTTCGGGCTGGCGCTGCTCAACGACTGCAAATACGGGGCCTCGGTGCACGGCGGGGTGCTGAGCCTCTCTCTGTAAGTGCTGCCCTCCCGGGGGGCGCGGGGTGGAGGGGCGCGGGGGCTCAGGGCTGCTGCAGCCCGGCCCATCCCACATCCCCCGCCTCAGCTTGCGGGCGCCCAAGGCCCCCGACACCACGGCCGACATGGGGCGCCACGAGTTCACCTACGCGCTGATGCCCCACAAGGGTGAGTGCGGGGGTTCGGGGGTCGCGGGAGCGCCCTCCCCGGGCTCCTGTTTTGCACGACACCGGCTCCGGTCCCCGGTCCCCGTCTAGGCACCTTCCAGGACGCCGGCGTCATCCAGGCCGCCTACAACCTCAACTTCCCGCTGCTGGCGCTGCCCGCGCCAGGGCCGGCGCCCGCCACCGCCTGGAGCGCCTTCTGGGTGTCATCGCCCGCCGTGGTGCTGGAGACCGTCAAGCAGGTCGGGGGGCTCCCCAGGGCGGCGCCCAGCCCGGGCCAGCCCACTCCCGGCGCCCATGTCCACTTCCCTCCGCAGGCCGAGGAGGCCGACGGCCGCGCGCTGGTGCTCCGGCTGTACGAGGCCCACGGCAGCCACGTGGACTGCTGGCTGCACACGGAGCTGCGGGTCCAGAAGGCTTTCCTGTGCGTGGGGCGTGGACCCTGGCTTGGGGGCGGGCCGGGCGTCCCTGTGCGTGGGGGTGCGGGTGCGCCCCCCCTCCGCTTTCCTGTGGGGTCGGGGGAGGGTGCAGGACCTGCCCTGGTCCCGCCTCACAGCCCCTCCTCTCCTCAGCTGTGACCTCCTGGAGCAGTACGACGCCGAGGGACACCTGCCCATGCAGGACAGCGGCCTGAAGCTCAGCTTCTCTCCCTTCCAAGTGCAGTCCCTCTTGCTCCTGCTGCAGCCCCCACTGAAGTGAGGCGGGCGGGCTGGGCGAGGGCCCCGCACCCCCAGCCTGAAGCGGGCTCCCTCTCCTCTGGAACAATAAAGCCCTGCTCCGGATTCCTGCGGAAGCTCCAAGGTGGTGGGTGCCTGGGCCTGGGCCACAGCAAGGGGTCCTGAGAGCAGCCCTGGGGGGTGAGGGGTGGGCCCTGGCTGGGGAGCGGCCCAGGGGCGGAGAGCAGTAGAGATGGGGGGTCTGGGCACTGGGCGGCCCCACCCCCAGATCAGCCAGCCCTGCAACCATGCATCCATGCCAGAAAGTGCCCAAAAATCCAAGTTTATGTTTATAAAAATAAAGCGCTTTCCGCGTGGGTGTGAGGGGTAGGGCAGGGGTTCAGGTACAGAGCGCAGGGCTGGGGCTTCCTGAGCGGTGCAGGCAGCAGCGGGGGCCGGAGAGCACCTGCTAAGAGGCCGGGCTCCCTTCTGGCTCCGGCTCCGGCTCCGGGGATGAGGTGTCAACTTTGATCTTCCGGGGCCTTCGTCGCCCTGTGGAAGGACAAGTGAGGGCCCAGCGGGAGGACAGCACCCCTCCCTGGGATCCACCCCCCCACCCACCTGCACTGAGGGCCTTCGAGGGCGGCGCAGAGGGAGGCCGCCTCCGCCTTTTCCCTTTCTCGGGGGCTGCAGGCACCTGCGGGGGGCTGGCCGCCACGGGCTGCTGCGCTGTGCTGCGCTCAGGACGGCCTCTGCGTGGCCTGCGTGGCCTGGCAGGGGTCTTGGTGGGACCGTCAGGCGGTGGAGGAGACGGGGGCCCCTGAGGCAGACAGAGGGCAGAGAAGGGGGGTTTGGGACCCTGCACCCCTGCGGCTCCCAGCAGCCTGTGTGGGAGTGTGTCCAGCTTGGGGGGGCACCTACCTCCACTCTGTCCTCGGGCCCCCTCTGTGCTCCTTTGGTTTTTCTCTTGCGGGACTTGCCCCCTGCAGGACATCGATCCTGGGGCTAAGGGTTCTGTAGTCTTGGCCCCTTGTCACAGACACCCCCCCCACACACACACCGAGAATAGGAGTGGGGACGGCTGGCGAGCTGTCCTCTCCGCCCCTCACCGGTCACCCGAGGAGTTGCTTACCTTTGGGTGCCAGGGGTCCAGGATCCCCCTAAAACGGAATGAGGAAAATCGAGGTGCCAGCCTGAATTGGGCCGGAAGTCAGTCAGTTTCCCCCCCGAAGAAAAAGCTTGCGTCCGTCCTTTGAGATCACTGTCCCCTGGGGGTTTCTGAGCACCACATCCCTGCACGTCAGCGCTGCCTTACTGGCCCCCTGGGCATCCCCCCACACCCAGCCTGGTGGGCTCCCCACCGGAGGGCGAACCTGGAACCAGATGGTGCGGCCGTGCCGGTCCCGCAGGGAGCTCATGCCCGACGCCCCGTAGCAGCGCAGCCAGGCGCGGAAGGCGGCGAAGTCTTCGTCCCCCAGCTCCTGCCCGTACCCCTTGCCCCCTGTGGAACAGAGGGACAGGTGGAGGTCGGGGCGGACTCGGGTAGAAGTGGGGAGCCCGGCTAGGCCTAGCTCTGACCGCCGCTGCAGGTGCTGATGGGCAGATGGACGGAGAGCGGGGGGTGGCGGCGGGGAGCAAGCCCCCCTCCAGCTGTGTGGCTGCAGGAGTCTCCCCCCCTCTGGGTCGTGGCCTTTGCATCCAGGAGTCGGGCTCAGGTTCCTGCCCTGTCTGCCCTGTGGGCCGCTCGGAAGACACTGTCCATTTTCCATCGGCCGGGAGGGAGGGTCGCTCCTGAGCAGGGACAGCCACTGCCCCAGGCTACAGTCGGCCAGAGCCGGGGCAGCTGGGCGGCCGCCTGTGTCCCCAGGCTCACCCATCTCCACCACCTCCTTGGGCACTGAGTGGCACAGCTCCAGCAGGTCCGGGTTCTGCAGCTTGGCCTTGATCTTCTGGCTCAGGGTCAGCTCTGGGCTCTGGGGAGGGGCGGGGGTGAGGCGGGATGGTCAGCGTGGGCAGCAGCCCCACCCCCCTCCGGGAAAGAGCCCTTCCCGAGCTCTGCAGGACTCTGGAAGGTTCATCCAGCACCCCTCCAGAGAGAAAGGGAGAATGAGGCCCAAAGGTGCGTGAGCCTCCGCTGCCATGCCTGCCGGCATCTGTGGCCCGTCCCCGCCCCCCTCCCCCCCTCACCGGCCTGCGCTGCTGGAGCGCCTCCAGGACCGTGCGGGCCTTCTCAAAAGGGGGGATCCTCAGCCTGCAGAGGGGGAGAGAGGAGGCCACGCTCTGCAGGGGGCAGCGAGGGTGCACACGGCCCGCGCCAGCCCCAGTGCCCACGGCCTGCCACTGACCGGTGCAGGATCTCTGCCCGCAGGTAGTTGCCAATGCCATTGAAGAACCTCTGGTCCAAGAGGGCCTCGCAGATGGGCCGGTCAAAGGCCTTGTCCGCCAGGTTTCGTAACACATTGTCCCTGGAGGAACACAGCCTGGGCACCTCACACCCCTGGCCCTCCCCGGGTACTGGGCGGCAGGGGCTGGAGGGAGGGAACAGAGACCAGGTCTCTTTCCCCAGGCTGGGGGCAGCAGACACCTGTTTTCCTGTCTGTCCAGTGGAAACCTTATAGGACTGTCTGGCCTGGGGCGAGAGTACAGTGAGGAGGGTAAGGCGCTCGCCTTGCACACGGCCGGTCCAGGTTCAATCCAAGGCACCCCTATGGTCCACTAAGCCCCACCTGGCATGATCCCTGAGCACGGAGCCAGGAGTAAGCCCTGAGCAGCCATTGTGTTGGAGTCACACTGTGCACTGGGCTGCTCCTGGGGATCAGACTTGCACCCCCTGCATGCAAAGCACGCACTCAGCCTGCTGCGATCTCTCTCCAAGCCCTAGGGCTGGAGCGATAGCACAGCGGTAGGGCGTTTGCCTTGCACGCAGCCAACATGGCCGACCCGAGTTCGATTCCTCCGCCCCTCTCGGAGAGCCCGGCAAGCTGCCGAGAGTATCTCGCCCGCACGGCAGAGCCTGGCAAGCTCCCCGTGACGTATTCGATATGCCAAACACAGTAACAAGAAGTCTCACAATGTGTTGTGAGACGTTACTGGTGCCCGCTCAAGCAGATCGATGAACTATGGGAGGACAGTGCTACCAGAAGTCAAAAACGCCAATCAGCAACACGTTTGGGGATACAAACGCGTCTGTGTCTGTCCTATGCAGATCACCACGAGGCCTCCATTCCCCGGGCTCTGTGTGTGTGCGCATGTGTGAATCCCCGGCAGTGCAAAGCTAAGTAAACAAAGTGAAAACAGGGTCAGGGAGGAGCCAAAGACAGCTCAGAGGGTGGAGTCTGTGTACCACTGGGAGCAGTCCTCAAGGAGCACCCTGCAGAAGTTCCTGAGAACCCACGGAACATAGTCTCCAGCCAAAACACTAAGACTTTGGGGTCCGCATCTTGTGGTGGGTGCTCAGGGACTGCGGCTGTGCTTTGGGGGCAGTGCTCAGGGGACTGTGAATGACAAGTAGACTCCTGTATGCAAAGCACGCGTGACATCCTGTTTTGTTTCATTTGGGGGCCACACCTGGGCTTACTTCTGGCTCTGCAGTCAGGGGCCACTCCTGGTGGGGCACTGGGGGACCATATGAGGTGCTGGGGATGGAGTCCGGGTCAGTCGCGTGTAAGTCCACTGTGCCACTGCTCTGGCCCCGGAGCCCCTGAACGTTGAGGCAGGGCCTGGCTCTGTATAGGAGCAGCTGGAACTTAGCCTGGCTACTGAGCAGCCCTGAGGCTCACTGCCAGAGGACACCATCAGCAGGCGGTCAGGACAGTACTGATTCGGCCACAGGCAGGGCATGAAGAAGGTGTGCACGGTACAGAGAACAGACAGTATGGGGGTAGAGGGTCAGCCTGGGCGGCGGCCTCCTTGGAGAGGAGCAGATCCCCAAGAACAGCTGTTGGGGGCTCAGCACGAGGCTTCGAAGCAGTAGAGTTGACTTGGGAGAGAAGCCTTAGGAGGGTCTCAGCTCCACAGAGACAAACGCCTCCCCAAGAAGGCACCTGGGGACAGGACTTTGCTGCCCTCTCTGTCCAGCGATGCCCCACCCACTCGGGCAACTGCGTCTCCTAAGTGAGGTGTGTGACACTGAGGAAGGGTGAGTGCCACAGGCTTGGGGCTGGAGCAGTAGCACAGCAGGTAGGGCACTTGGCTTGCATGCACCCAATATTTGAACCCTGGCATCCCATATAGTGCCCCAAGCCCCACTTAGGAATGATCCCTGGGCACTACTGAGTATTCAGCAGTCAGAGTCTCCCCCTGTGACAGCCTGGGCTTTCCTGCAGCACCCCTCCCCTTGCACCTCCCTCCCCCCTACCGCCTCAGCTTCAGGCTCTGTCAACCAGGTTCCCCTGTGCTTCCCTCCTCCCCCACCCCACCCCAAGTTTGTCTCTCTGGGGACAGGGAGCACATCCATCGCCTCTACTGTACCCCTAGAGCTGATGAAGGCCTGGAACCAGACCTGTTTCCTTTGCAGGGACAGAAAGTGGCTAGCAACTCGCCACCTTCTGTGGCCTGCATCACATCCTGGGTTGCAGTTAGAGGGGACAGTCCCAGGGGAGACCAGAGACACAGACCAGTGGGCAGCCAGATAGTGGCAGACCACAAAAACCAGGCTGTGAAACCATGCCATTAGCGGTCCTCTCCCGCAGCCTGAAACAACTGTTGGGGCTCGCTTTTCTCGTCCTGAAAGCCCTGAAGCCTGAGGGGGCACCCAGCAGCACCAGGGTGCTGGGGAAGTCAGTCTCTGGGCCACTGCTGGTCTCCCATGTATCCTGAGAGTGCTCCACCAGATAACGGTGTGTCCCCCAGCCCTGCTGGGGCAGTCCTGGCGGTTCTCACTGGTTGGTTGAGCGTTGCCAGAAGTGGCTGCCGGGGCCCCTGAGTCCTGCCGGGGAGCCCCCACAAGACCAAAGGCAGAGGGCTGAGACACGGGGGGCTCCCCTGCCGCCTCCCCGGCCTCGAGGCACCGCCAGAGCCCCCACCGAGCCCTGGCCCTACCTGAACTGCTCGTATTCCGCCAGGACACACGGCCCTCGGCCAGGCTGCCACTGGCCACCGAGGTCCCAGTGGCCGAAGCGACGGATGTCCACGAAGCAGAGGGCCTGCGGGGGCCCCGGGGGCGCCGTGTAAAAGCGCAGGTGGGCATGACGGGGCAGCGCGTCGCGGGGCGCCAGCTGGAAGGAGCCGGACATGCCGAAGCGGAAGACCAGGGCCAGCGGCTCCTGGGGGGGCTGGGCCCCGGGCAGGGGGCGCAGGGTCAGGCGCAGCTCCTTGCCCCGCGCCGTGGCCGAGATGCGGTACGCGCTGCTCTCGAAGGGCACCTCGGGGTTGCGGCTGACCGGCGACTTGTCCACGCGCCCGCCGAACACCAGCCCGCTGCAGACCCGGTTCACAAAGGCGCTGGCCAGGTGCAGCTCGGGGCCCTCGGGCATCCTGCGGGAGGGGGCACCAGTGGGCACTGCGCAGGGGCCGCCCGCCTTGGTGGGGAGCCGGGGAGCGGGCCGCGGGCACTGCGCTGGGAAACGCAGGCCCCGGGGGGCCGGCCTGGAGGATGCGCCCCAGCGGCCGCCCCCGGAGCCAGTCCAGGTGCTCCGTCCAGGTGCTCCGAGGGTCGAGTCCACTCCACAGCCCACCTCGCAGGCGCCCCTCCCTCGCCGGCTGCAGGCGCACTGTCCTCCCGCGGAGCTCCAAGCCCAGCGCGGACGCGCCTTCAGGGCCTCCGCCCCTGCCCCGATCTGAGGCTCCGCGCCCCTGGCCCCCCGCGCCCACCCGGGGCCCACGCTTCTGCTCCCCGTTACAGCCCCAGGGCCGGGAGCGTCAGCGGCCGCCCGCCCGGAGGGTCGGGTGAGGTCGGGGCGGGGGCTCCGGCCGCGCCCGCGGTCCCCAGGCGCCGAGGTGCAGGGCAGTGGGCAGCTTGCGGGCGCGATCGGGGTCCGGGGGCCACGCCAGCCCCTCACCCTGCCCCGCGACTCCCCGCGCCCGGGCGGAGGCGCCAGGGCTGCCGCGCGCCGGGCCGAAAGGGGGAAGCGGCCGGCCGGGCCCTTTACCCACCTGCGTGTGTGCAGCGGCGCCCAAAGGCTCGTTCGGGGACCCAAAACGGCGCACGGCAGGCGCTGGGCGGCGCGGCCAGCCCAGGGAGCCCAGGGAGCCCAGGGAGCCCAAGGGTCCCACCCTCGGCCGCGCGGCGGCGGGGCTAGCCCGGACAGCTGGGGCTGCTGGGAGCTGTAGTTCCCGGGCCGGTCACCTGGCGGGGCCCAGTGCAACGGCCGGACGCAGCGGGAGGCGCGCGGACTGGGACAAAGCCCCGGGCGGGGGCCTGGGGGCAGTTTGCATCTCACCCAGGCGGAGCGGCTCAGGGGCCTGAACCGGAAGCCCCAGCTTGCCCCCTTCCAGTAATTTTGCCTCCCTCCTTTTCTCTGCATTTATTTTGGGGGAGCTATTTTAAATCGTTGCACATCAAAACACCCCCTTAAACTGAGCTTGCATCTCTCTGAAACAAGCGCCAAAACTGGGAAGAGAGGGAAGAGGACTGGGGGCGGGGGGGGGGGGGGGGGGGGGGGGGGGCAGGGAGGGGTGGGGAGGTACTCGGGGCTGCACTGTATGGCCCCCAAGCTCTTCTGAGGATGGCTCTGGTGGACCACAGCACCCTACTCGCCGAGCAGACAGCTGTCCTTGGCCCCCTGAACACTGCTTTGGAGGTTTTCTCAAAAAATAAAATCCACGGGCCAGATCAATAGCACAGCAGGGAGGGTGTCTGCCTTGCACACGGCCAACCAGCTTCGATCCCCAGCACTGCCCAGAGTAATTCCTGAGCGCAGAGCCAGTAGTGAGGCCTGAGGGTGCAACCCCCAAGCTAAAAACTAAAATTAAAAATATATGGGGTGGGGGGACAGCAGTGAAGCAATAGAAATACGTGCAGGGTGCTTCCCTTCCAAGTGGCTGACCCGGATTCTATCCTTAGCACTCTGTATGGTCCCCCAAGACCACCTGGAGTGAGCCCTGAGCACTGCCAAGTGCGGCCCACACAAAAAAAGTGAGCGTTGGGCTAAGATGTGTATGTCACTGGTCTCTCCCGCCAAGACCTCTGACCCGAAGAACCCAAGAAGCCGGTTCACACATGCTGTAGCTTGGATGCATTTATTTACTTTGGTTGTCAGGAGCTGGGGGGAGGAGTGAGGAATGCGTGTGTTCTTGTCATGTGTGCACGTGTGGTGCAATGACACAGGATCAAGCCCGGCGTCTCCTGCACACATGTCACCTCTGCAGACAACCTGTGTCCAGGAGGATGACCACCGCGCGGCTCACAGCCCTCCAAAGGGAACCATGTTGCCAGGCGCCCGCGGAGGGGTCCAGAGGGCAGAGACTCAGCCTGGGGTCCTGAGGCTCCTCAGCCCAGGGAGCCCATCAGGGCGTGGGCCTGTCTCAGCTCTGCGTGGGGAGAGGGGGCCGCGGTCAGGAGCTGGGGGGTCGGCGTCCTCACCCCTCCAGGTGCAGCCGGGTCGAGTCCTCCTTACCTGCCAGGAGGACCTGGAACTTGTTCACCGTGAGGGCCATAGTCACAGGCTGGGCGGGCTCGCCGGGGGCGTCTGCCAGCTGCAGTCTCAGGTGCAGCATGGGCGCCTCCACGGTCTGTAGCAGGCTGGAGTTGAGGGTGTAATCCACGCGCCAGCTCACACCCACCAGCCGGTTAACTGGGGGGGTGGGGGGAAGGGAGGAGGGTCTCAGGGCAAAGACTGCGAGGCCTCAGCCCACACCCCCTAGCTCCTCAGGCTTCAGACGCTGTCCCAGGAGCAGCGCACGTCCTGTACCCGAGGCGGGAGATTACCCAGTGGCTGGCAGGCTGGCGTCGGGGGCCTGACTGCGACTCGGCCCTCCTCTCTGGGCCGGTGTTTGTCGGGGGACCACAACTGTACTGCTGGGGAATGGGGGGGCAGGGGAGCCTGGTACTCCCCCTGAGGGCCCTGGACGATGGCTGCAAATGCCCGCGTGCAGAGCCTGTGCCCCTGGGGAGCCATGTCCTCGGCCTCCTCTCTCAGGTTTGTTTTCTGGGCTCCGGAGATTACACAGGGGTACGGGTGGAAGCCAGGCTCCCCGATGCAAAGCAGGTACTGCTGCCCTTTGAGTCATCTTTTGATTTCTTTGTTTGGGGGACACCACCCGGCAGTGCTCAGGGCAGCTCTGTGCTCGAGGGTCACTCCTGGCGGGTGCAGGGGACCATATGAGATGCCGGGGGTTGCACCCGGGCTAGCTGCTGCATCAAATACAGCCCTCCCGGCTGTACTCTCTTTCCAGCCTTAGAGTCATCATCTGACCCTCGATGTCCTCTGAGGGCAGCACCCGGCATGCTGCGGCACCTTCTAGAATGTTCTAGAACAGAGGTAAGACTCCCCCACCACACCCCTGTGCCCCGACTCACTGCGTAGGCTGCAGGTCCGCAGGTGCTCCTGCAAGGGGCTTCGCTGCTCCTCGTAGCAGCGGCACAGGCCCGTGGCGTGCTCTGAGGGTCAAACAGCTGCTGAGGTGGCAGGTATCAGCACCCAGTCCACCCTCCGTGAGAGACACGGACACCGACACTCCCCAGGGCCCCCCCAGGCCCTCAGCTTGGTACCTTTGGGGAGTCCCAGCTGCTGCAGCTCACTGGACAGGGACTCGCCGTCCACACTGTGTTTGGCGGCGCTGGAGAGGATGAAGCTGAGAACGGCCACCGTGGCCTTCACATCGCCCGACTCTGCCGGGAGAAGTGGGTGGGCACACCAGTCACCTCCTGCTGCCTGTGACCTTTACTCACTGCTCCCTGAGCCACGAGCACTGGCCTGCCGACCGGAAGCTGGCAGAGGGCATGGCCTGGGGTGGACACAGAAGCTGGGACTCAAGTCCCCGAGGTTGCCAAAGTCGGGGGGTTGGGGGGGACTCACCGAACTTGGCATCAGCAGTGAGTTTCTGGATCTTCTCGTACTATGGGAAAAGGGGGCGCTCAGTGGGTGCCGCTCCCATCTCCCCAGCCCCACGCCCACCAGAAGGTGGTTCCCAGGGCCACCTTCCAGGCAGGGAGCACTGGCATTACTCACGTCGAGCCCCTGTCCCAGCAGCTCCTTCAGCACCTGGCCACACAGCAGCCGCAGCTTCACGGAGGACTGGGGGTGCAGGGAGGCTCACCTCACCCCACTGGCCATGCCCCTGAGCAGGGGCTGCCACAAGGAGGGAGGAGGGCAGCGCACGGCCCCAACCCCAAGGGCCTCACCCCGCCCCCACCCCATCCCGGGACCCCAGGCACTCAACAATCTTGGCCAGCGTGCTGATCTCCGCCAGGACCCAGTCCGGACAGTCCAGGTCACCACAGAACCGGAACCTCTGAGAGACAGGGAGAGAGAGGTGCTCAGTCAGGTGGGAGGGCTTAGGGGGCTCGTTTCTCCCCTGTCCAAGATGAGGATACCCCCTGGGCCGCTCTTCCTTGTTCTGATGGGCCTTCACCTTCCCCACAAATACTGGAGAGCACTTTGTGTGACGGACCCCAGAACACAGGCCAAAGTCCCCACCCTGCTCGGGCCACACTGGCCCCACTGTTGCTGTGACCCCAGGCCCATCCTCCCCTCGGTCTCCTGTCCCCTTGGTGCAGCCTGGCCACTCCCTCCCTCCTGGTCTCTGCTCAAGTAGGTCCTTCGGGTGTTTTGTTTTAACTTTTTATTTTATTTTTGGTTTGGGGGCCACATCCACCAATGCTCAGGGGTTACTCCCGGCTTCGCATGCAGGAATTACTCCTGGTGGTACGCAAGGGGCCATATGGGATGCTGGGGATTGAACCCAGGTGGGTAGCATGCCAGGGAAACTCTGTACCCACTGTACTATTGCTTGGGCCTTTCAAACACTGCCTTGGCAATGGGTCTCCTGAACCCACTTTCTACAGTGACCTTCCTACCATTTCGGGCGCTAGTGGGTGTGCACATAATTTTATTTTGGCAAGTCTGTGCATACCAAAACAACTGTACGCTCTGCATGTAATCGACTGTGCACTTCTATTTCAATAAAGCAGCGATACGCTGAGCTTGCCCCCACCATCGTCCAGATACTTCGCTTGTCTTCATTTGCTGGGAGGCCACAACTGGCAGTGCTCAGGGTTTAGACTCCTGACACTTGTGCTCAAGAATGGCGCCTGCTGGGGCACAAGGGTGCAAGTGGTAGCACTGCAGCACTGCCCTCCCGTTGCTCATCGATTTGCTCCAGGGGGCCCAGTAACGTCCCCATTGTGAGATTCGTTGTTACTGTGTTTGGCATATCGAATACGACAAGGGGAGCTTGCCAGGCTCTCGGAGAGGGGCGGAAGACTCGAACCCGGCTCAGGGCCAGCTGTGCAAGGCGAACGCCCTACTGCTGTGCTATGGCTCTGGGGATTAAACCCGGGTGGCCCCGTGGCAGGGCAAGCCCTCTACTTGTCGTGCAATCTCTCCAGAGCTGAGCTGCTCAAGCTCCTCTCGTATCTGCTACTGACAAAGTCAGAAGTGCAATCAGGGCTGGACCGATAGCATAGCGGGTAGGGCGTTTGCCTTGCACGCAGCCAACATGACCAACACAGGTTCGATTCCCAGCACCCCATATGGTCCCCCGAGCACCGCCAGGAGCAATTCCTGCGTGCATGAGCCAGGAGTAACCCCTGAGCATCGCCGGGTGTGACCCAAAAACCAAAAAAAAAAGAAGTGCAATCAACCGTACTAAGGCGATATTCTTTCCTTTTCTCCTGGGGGGCCCCGCGGGGCTCGTTGTTTTTGTTTGGGGGCCACGCCCAGTGGTGCTCAGGGCTCACTCCTGGCGGGGTCGGGAGCACTGTGTGCCACGTGGGGGTCTGAACTCGGGCGGGGGGTGCAAGACAAGCACCTTCACTCCCAGCGATCTTAGGTCACGTGCCCCGATTCCGCCCCCCCCCCGCCCCGCCAGCTCAAGTCCCCCCGGGGCACGTGGCGCGTGCGGCCGCGGGACCCCCTGGAGCGGAGGAGGGAGAGGCAGTGGGCAAACGGTTCCCGGCCAGGCCCGGGCGCACCGCGAAGGGCCAGCTGGGTGGAATTCCGGGCCGGGTCTCCAAGTGGCCCCGGAGGCCGAGAAAGGGCAGCTGGGGGGGGGGGGGGCGGGGGTCGTCTCGGGGCGCCGGGGATCAAGGCCCGGTGTCGGCCACGGGGCTCGGGCGCCCTTTGCCCTCGCGCCCGGGAAGCGGCCAGACGCCGAGCCGCGGGCCTGCCCAGCTGCCCGGCCGCGCTGGACACTGCGGTCTCGGGGCCGCGGCCCGCCACGCGCCCGCCCGCCTCGCGCCCCGGCTCAGCGCTCACCATTGTGCCGGGCGCCGCCGCCGGGAGCCGCGTCTTCCGCCCGCGCCGGGTCAGCTGACCGCGCGGTCACGTGACGCCGCGGCGCCTCCGGCCCGGGGAGAGGCGGGACGCGCTGCTGGGTCCAGCCCGAGCCTCCCCGGAGCCGCCTGCGACGCGCCTTGATCGAAAGGGCCGAGAAGCTCGGCGGTTAGGGCGCTTGCCTTGCACCAGGCCGGCCCGGGTTGGCCGACCCGGGTTCGATTCCCAGCAACCCATACGGTCCCCCGGGTTCGATTCCCAGCATCCCACACGGTCCACCCGGGTTCGGTCCCCCGCATCCCACACGGTCCACCCGGGTTCGGTCCCCCGCATCCCACACGGTCCACCCGGGTTCGGTCCCCCGCATCCCACACGGTCCACCCGGGTTCGGTCCCCCGCATCCCACACGGTCCGCCCGGGTTCGGTCCCCCGCATCCCACACGGTCCGCCCGGGTTCGGTCCCCCGCATCCCACACGGTCCGCCCGGGTTCGGTCCCCCGCATCCCACACGGTCCGCCCGGGTTCGGTCCCCAGCATCCCACACGGTCCGCCCGGGTTCGGTCCCCAGCATCCCACACGGTCCGCCCGGGTTCGGTCCCCAGCATCCCACACGGCTCGCCCGGGTTCGGTCCCCAGCATCCCACACGGCTCACCCGGGTTCGGTCCCCAGCATCCCACCCGGTCCGCCCGGGTTCGGTCCCCAGCATCCCACACGGTCCGCCCGGGTTCGGTCCCCCGCATCCCACACGGTCCGCCCGGGTTCGGTCCCCCGCATCCCACACGGTCCGCCCGGGTTCGGTCCCCCGCATCCCACACGGTCCGCCCGGGTTCGGTCCCCCGCATCCCACACGGTCCACCCGGGTTCGGTCCCCAGCATCCCACACGGTCCACCCGGGTTCGGTCCCCCGCATCCCACACGGTCCACCCGGGTTCGGTCCCCCGCATCCCACACGGTCCACCCGGGTTCGGTCCCCCGCATCCCACACGGTCCGCCCGGGTTCGGTCCCCAGCATCCCACACGGTCCGCCCGGGTTCGGTCCCCAGCATCCCACACGGTCCGCCCGGGTTCGGTCCCCAGCATCCCACACGGTCCGCCCGGGTTCGGTCCCCAGCATCCCACACGGCTCGCCCGGGTTCGGTCCCCAGCATCCCACACGGCTCGCCCGGGTTCGGTCCCCAGCATCCCACACGGTCCGCCCGGGTTCGGTCCCCAGCATCCCACACGGTCCGCCCGGGTTCGGTCCCCAGCATCCCACACGGTCCGCCCGGGTTCGGTCCCCAGCATCCCACACGGTCCGCCCGGGTTCGGTCCCCAGCATCCCACACGGTCCGCCCGGGTTCGGTCCCCAGCATCCCACACGGTCCGCCCGGGTTCGGTCCCCAGCATCCCACACGGTCCGCCCGGGTTCGGTCCCCAGCATCCCACCCGGTCCGCCCGGGTTCGGTCCCCAGCATCCCACACGGTCCCCCGGGCACCGCCAGGAGTAACTCCTGAGTGCAGAGCCAGGAGGAACCCCTGAGCATCGCCGGGTGTGACCCAGAAAGAAAAAAAAAGAGCGGAGGAGCGAAGCCGTAGAGCGAGGGAGGCCGCAGGAGCTGCGGCGGGGGCGTCTGGCGTCGAGAGTGATCCCCTTCCAAGAGGCGCCTAGTGCTCCCTCCCTTCCTCCAGCGGGCCTTGATTTCAGCTGAGCACTTGTGCAAAAGCTCTGCAGCACAAATGAAACCCGCTACCAGTTTCTCAGCGCCCCCACCTGTCTTCCCCCGCCCCCTCGGCCACCTTAGTTCTGCTGTCAGTGCCCCTCGATGGGTCTGCTTATTTTATTGAGTCTCCAATTGTATATCCTCGGATTGCACAGACTGGTGAAATCTCCCGATTCCTGCCTTCCCCCCCCCCCCCCCCCTCCGCGTACTTACTTTGCTGCCCATGATTCCCTTGAGACCCCTTCCATTCTGCCCAGAATGGCAAGCTTTTGTTGCAAGTGGAGAGCTTGGGGAGCCCCACGTGTCTAGGAAGGGACTTCTGGAAAATGTGCAGGGCCCTAACCATAGTACTGCGGTTGGGGCCCTGGCCTTGCACTTGGCTACCCGAGTTCGATTCCCCACGTCCCATACGGTCCCCCGAGCTCCACTAGGAGCAATTCCTGAGCATGAAGCCAGGTGTAACTCCTGAGCATCCTCAGACGTACCTCCCACCCCCTAAAATCGAAAGAAAGTGTGCATTGCCCACACTCCTGCTCCGCTCACCACAGGCCATGGTGCCAGGAACGTGTCATGGGCTGATACATGGCTGGGACAGTAAAGATTTGACTCCACCTGGCTTCATAGTTTCCTTTTCTATCCTCAGACAATGTCATGAAAGAGCTTTATGTAGGAAACAAGAGGCCGGTAAGAAAAGAGGACGTTGTCAAGTATTAGACAAATACAGGCGGAAAATAGTACCTCAAGTAAAGTGTTTGTCTTGCACCCAGCCGACTCATCCTGGCACTGTTTATAGTCCCTCAGGCCCCTTCCTAGTGTTGCCCTCTGAGCATAGAGCCAGGAGTGAGTCCTGAGTACTGATGTGTATGATCCCTACCCCCCAATTATATAACCCAAATTGGGATGTGGGCAACCCTACAGTGGCATGTGTGTCTTAAATGAAGGGGAAAGTGGCACACCCAGAGTAGAGTGGTATAGGGGACCTCAAGATGGACTGCACCCTTTCCCCTGTCTGCTTTTGTAAAGCTGTTTTCACCAACCTTCTATCAATGTCCTAGTTTGGCATTCTGTGCTGGTAAGAGTCCATTCCTAGGGTGTGTTGTGGAACTGGTGGGGTTCTTCAGTTTAGCAGGGCATTTGTTCCTGCTAAGATCCCTTGAGGGGTCTCCCTGAGTCCTGGCCTAGGGTCTGAGCTGGCACCTTCAGTCTGGGACTGTGGGCTACCGCAGAAATTCTTTTTAGATCACATTTTAAAGTTTGTTTTGCTTTTTGTGGGGCTTTTATTTTATAGCGGGCATACCCAATAATGCTCAGGGGCTAGTCCTGGATCAGTACTCAGGGATCATTCTGGTATGGCTCAGGGGACCACATGGGATGCTGGGAATTAAACCTGGGTCAGCCATGTGCAAGGCAAATGCCCTACCCACTTGTATCTTTTTAAACACCTGACTAGTTGGTAGTCCCTGCTGTCAGTGGAATATCCCACCTTTATCTACCCATCTATGGACAGACATTTTGGTTGCCTCCATAACTTAGTTCTTATAAATAGTTCTGCATTGAACATTGAAGTGATACAAATTTTTGTGTTAATGTTTTCATACTTTGGATGGACATTCAAAAGTAGGATAGCTGGGGGTTTGGTGCTGCAGATACTCCATAGCCTTTTCCAAAGTGGTTGTGCCCTGAGGCTGAAGAGGAGGACAGCAGATAGGGTGCTTGCCTTGCATATGGCTGACCCAGGTTCGGTCCCTGGCGTCCTTACGGGTATCCCATAAAGTGCCCCCAGCCTGCCAGGAGTAATTCCTGAGCACAGAGCCAGGAGTTACCCCTGAGCACTTCAGGTGTGGCCCCCCAAAACAAAATGGTTGTGCCATTTTTTATTCTCACCAAACAGCTCTCAAGGGCTCCTTTCTTCTCACACACTCCCCACTCCCCCCATCTGCTGTTGAGGTCAGATATCCCCACAGTTGTGAGGTGGTAACTCATAGTCGTCTTAATTTTCATTTCCCTGATGATCAGTGACGATAAA